AGGTTTAATAATTTACCCAAAATGAGATAACTTGGCTTATATGGTGATAATAAAATGTTTTTCCTCCTGAAAGTATATATGAATTAGGAATTTAAAAAGTAAATACTCAATTTAGTGAACCTGAATATTTTTGGAAGATTGCATTTTTTAAGTCATGTGTCAGGGCTGAAAAGCTTGAAGCAGCTACTTTAGAGCTTTTTTGAATCACTTGACTTTAATGTTTATTGACAGGTTAATTGTACATTTAAAAAAAATGCTTGCTATATATAACCTGTTCCTGTATGATTGAAGTATGAAGTTTCAGATCTATCTCTAGATGATACATTGCTATTAATACAGTGCTTTCCAAAGGTGAAATATTTTCATAGGTATTAGTCTTTTGAACCTAATTTTTCTTATTATTCTGCCCTTATCAACATTAGGCAGGAAAAAAATCTACCAAAACAGTGCCCACTTTTAAGTTTCACATGCAGATAATTGAGGAGACTTTAGCCCTTTTCCCCATGCAGTCAACTCCTTTAGAATGAGCCAAGTTCCTAGGAATTTGACAGTTACTACTTTATAAGCAAGTTCTTTTAAAACATCTCTGTAGTCATAGGGAGACATTTGAAAATATAAGAGGTAAACTGTTAATAACAGGAGAAATTTCAAGCTGAAATATATTTTTATCTTGTTAATATTTTAATATGGTATGCCAGTCTACTTAGGAAATACTAAGTTTCTTTTGAGTCTGAATACTGCCTTGGTAGAGACTTGCAGATGTTTAATATATTAAGTTATTCTAAATTTGCTAAGGATATTCTTTAACTCATACTTCTGAACATATATTGTTTAAAAGTGACTTAAATTTACTTCAATAATTATTGAATTTATTCTTAATCTACTGGTCTTTCAGTCCATCTTGTAAAATAATTACACTTCTCTTAATGAGGTTTTTACTAGAGTGTTAGAATAAATGTTAGATAACATCTTGAGCAGAAGTGATTTTTGTCAGTTACTGGTCTTGGGAAAGAGGAAGGATTCTTCTTTAAGATATTATATGAAGGATGTATACATCCATATATATAAAAAATCACATATTCTTATATATATGATCCTTACATAATTTTATATATATATTTGAAAGATTCCTCTTTAAGTTTGTTATGGCAATATTCTTGATTTGAAATAATTTTAGATATATAGAAAAGTTACAAGGACAGTACAGAGAGTTAGATATATCATGGATATCCTTCAGTCAGCCTCCCCTAGTGTTAACTTATATTCTTACAGTACCAGCAGATCCAAGGAGAATATTCACAATAGCCATTCTCCTTACCTGGGCAGATTAAGATTGAAATGTCATATAATAGGTACTTCTTTTCCAAAAAGAATTTCTAGTCTTTATACCAAATCTTCTGAATCAGTCTTCTGGTACATTAGTAATTCACTTTCAATGCACTTTTCAAAATCCATTTCCAAAGTATGCTGTAGAGAAGTATGTGTATGTTAATGTTTCCTTTATTTCTTATTCCAGTTTTTTAATATAAAAGCTTTCATGCCCTTTATGCTTCATAACCCTTACTTCTTTTGGTTAACATGGACTTCCTTCCTTTCTGCTGAATCTTAGTGCTTTCGCTTATTAATGGCAGCAAAGGTTTTTGAGTTAATGAAACGCCAGACACTGTGTGTGTGCTCTCTTCAGTAAGCCGTCTTTCTTTTCCCAGCTCTTCCACTTCTCCATCTTCAGTGCTAAGAAGGTTCGGTATCTTTCCACTAAAAGGTGGGGGTTTGTTGGCTTGGAGGCACCAAGTCTTTCCAAAAGACTCATTGAGGGTCCCAGTATTGACTGTTCCAAACATCAGTTAAGAAATGTAGGCTAAGCAGTGATAGTCATTTGTGTAGTCTTTGGTATCTCATCTTACCAACCTTAAAATGATGTTCATGATTTGAGTTTCCCAGCAGAAATTAATATGGAATGTAGATGTTTTTATACACCAAAATGACTCTGTCTTGTCAAATTAATAACTTATAATTTCTCTTTTGAAAGTCTCTTGTTTAGATAAATGTCTTTACTAGAAAAACAACTACCAGATTAATTTTAGCTATCCCGTTTGGGAAATTGGTCGTTTCCAATAATACTTACATTTATTGTATTAACTTTTGCCAGCCATCTTTTAAAAATAGATACTTTCCTTCTTTAGCATATGCTAAAGATACTTTATCTTTCTGATGATCGTCATGCAAATTAGTTGTGCCATAGTCCTTTCTAGTTTGATCTTTAGTATATATAGCGGGCATAATAAATAGGGAAACTAAGATAATTCAGAGACTAGATCAAGAAAATGCCATCCCTCTGAAATTTGAAGCTAATAAGGATAAATATTAATGTAAAGCCCTTGGCAGAAGGAACCCTTCCTAAAAAAGAGTATATTTCTAGTTCTAGTAAGAGTTGGATCTTTAGATTCTTATCCAAGGCAACTGATGAGACTGATAATTGAAAGTAAAAAGGTATTCCAAGTGGTATATTGATATGTAACATAGATGACTGTATGAACAAGAGTCAAAAGGCTGAGAGTGTTTCCTTGCTTTGGAAGTGCTAAGGCATCTAGAGGTACCCTTTATAAAGTTAATAATAAACTCAAATGAGAATGCCATCCTCAGTGTCTTCTTTGAGGACCACCCCATTCGCATTCTGTACTGTGCTTTCTCTATTGGTCATACTTTCCTCTCCCCTGTCCTGTGGTCAGCTGTTACTTCTTGCTGCCAACAAACTGTCTCAAGATAAGACTTTTTCTTCCTCCGTCTAATTAATTTTCCATTTCTAATCTATTAAATGTGTAGTGGATCTTTTTTAGAATTGTATCTACAGTAAGAGTAAACTGGCTCTACAAAAGCTATTTTTAAGTATTAGGATCTGAGACTTTAATAGACGGGACTGGTAATATCTGTTTTTTTTCTGTTGAATTGTTTGTATTTTTCGTATTCTATATTGTTTTATGAATAGCTAAGATTCCCAAAGAATTGACTTCTGGAGAGATAAAAAAAATCTTAACCGTATCTCTATTTATAAACTGTGTGTTTTATGTGCCCTCTACTACTAAATACATGGTAAGTGAATAGCACGATCTTCATCTTGAAGTTATAACTTACCTTTTCCTGAGGGACAGTTGATTGTTAAACAGGACTGCACAGTACCAACTTACTGACTTTGTCTGCTTATTTTTAATAAGAGAAAAAACAAAACCCAGAAATTGACAGATTTAATTTACACATTAAAGTGTGAACTATAAAGTACACGCTTTGAGATAATAGAAAGCAAGGATGGTACATCCCAGAGACTGTTTCTGTGAACTGTAAACGCACGTTTTCATGCTTTGTAAGTGGGCTAAAGGCCAAGATGCAATGTCATGATGTGAGTCTGTCCAGAAATACAGCTTATTCTCTGTGTTATTTTGCTTATTATAACTACTGTGTTGTCTTAGTCTCTAATGTGCAGTTACACATGTCCAAATGTCCCACATCTTTTGTTCTTGTTATTCAGCTTCTTTATGATAGAAGTGCTTTAGTTCTTTGATACTTTCAAGAGTTTTGTTCTGAAATAACTATGCAATGATTTTAGTTTATAAAAGCTTCAGTTTGATTTCATTCATGAAAAAGAACAATTCTACTTTAACATTTGTGGTTCTGTTAAATCTGAAAATTATTTCAGGCCACTGGGAGTCTTCTGTGAGTAACAGCATTTTGTATACAAGAGATTTGCCTCCAAAATGTCACATTTTAAGGTCATAATATTCTTGGAAAGTGGGAGAGAGCATGCACATCAAAGAAAGCATTTTTATTACAGTGGATTACGCAATAGTTTGGCCAACCTCCTTAGCTTCATCTGTTTAAGGGTTCATTTTCGCTTGTTTGGCACAGGTCCCAGTAGAGGCCTTCAGAATTGTGGTTAGCAACATGAATGAATTACAAACTTTGGACGAGCTCTTCAGTTAGTAGAGCTGGCTTGCTGCCAAAAAGACAGTGCCTTATATGGGGTCAGGGCAAAGCTGTGATTCGTTGAGTCCTGCATTGTATAGAAAACATACTTGGGATGCCTGTTTGCTTTCTTTTAAAATAAAAACAAAACAAAACAGAAATAGCAGCAGGCTTCCAAGTCTATCAAAACAGGAAGTAACAAAATAGTGTGCAGGTTTTACTAATGACAGAGTTAAGCAATGGAAATACAGCTCCGTGTAGTTAAAATACTAGAAGTAAAAGTTGGACTTTTGACCTCCTTAGCCAGCTTGTGATACAAGAGATTGAAGCATTTTGTTAGATACCTGTTGTCGTCCTGCTTTTATGTTATAGATGGCTTAATAAGATTAATTAGTCACATGTCCACATGGCTACTGTGCCACTGGGCTTTGGTATCTGCTAGATACGTTGAAAATTAAAAGTAGGAATAGTTACCTTTGAATGTGCCAATCCTTCTTTTTAAAAAATGTGTAGTTATGGCCAGGCGCGGTGACTCACGCCTGTAATCCCAGCTCTTTGAGAGGCCGAGGCAGGCGGATCACCTGAAGTCAGGAGTTTGAGACTAGCCTGGCCAACATGGTAAAACCCTGTCTCTACTAAAAATACAAAAAAAAAAAAAAAAAAAATTAGCTGGGCATGGTGGCAGGGGCCTCCTGTAATCCCAGCCACTGGGAAGGCTGAGGCAGGAGAATTGCTTGAACCCTAGAGGTGGAGGTTACAGTGAGGCGAGAACACGCCATTGCACTCCAGCCTGGGTAGGAGTGAAACTCTTGTCTCAAAAAAAAAAAAAAAAAAAAAATTTTTTTTTTGTAGTTATGTAACTTTTTAAAAAATTGACATGTTGAAATGGTAAAACAAGAAAGAATGAAATTTGCTTTTCAGAAGGTCACACATTTTGCTTATATTCTTAAGTTGGAGAATATAATTACTAGATCTATTAGAAGGGAAAACTTTAATATATTTTCAAATATAATTCATTTATCATTGTAATTTTTTCCATTTAGGCAAATACCCTATCTGGATCTTCGCTTAGTCAGGCACCGTCTCTTATGTATGGCAATAGATTAAATCCAAATTCATCAATGGCAGCTCTTATAGCTCAGTCTGAAAACAATCAAACAGGTAAGTTTTCAAGAATTATTAAACTCTAAAACTCTACGCTCACCTACTTTAAGTTTTTTCCCCTTTTGGTTCATTTTATTTGAAAACATGTAGGGATGTGGTTTAATAGAGGATTGTACTTAAAAAAAAAAGATTCACAGTTGGAAAATGTTAAATATTTCAGGTGATGGATATGTTAACTAGCTTGATTTTATTATTCCACATTACATTCATATATCATAACATCAGTTTGTACTCCAAATTTATATAATTACAAATTGTCAATTTACAATAAAAAAAGAATCACAGTTGGAAGTCAGTAGTATGCTGTGCTGCAAAATAGCGATGTGCTTTTTTTTTTTTTACTGTCTGAAATGGAAATGTTTCAGCAGAGCCATCAGCAGGCAGGAATGCAGCAGTGTCTCCTGTGACTTTTGTGATTGATGTGTTCAGTTCTCAGTTCTATGCAATGAAAGTAACATAACACTGGGCTTGTCTGTGAATAGCCTAAACCTTTATTTGCATAATTCATGAAATTGTATTACACAAACTTGGTTAAAAAAATCCTGTTAGAGAATTTCTGCAGTGTTTAGTAATCCTGTGAATGTTCACCAGTTGACGTTTTGTCGCATTTGTCTCTTGTACTGTCTTAATGAGCCACTGGATTTGCTTTGTTTCATTCCATCCTTAAGGATTGGTTGACATGTCCAAGTAGTCATGCCTGTTTGGGGGAAGGGAATGGATTTAGCAGTTCACCAAGAATGGATCAGTCTGTCTTTACTCATTAAGGGTCAGAGGTTACCTGACTCAGAATAAGAGGACAACCTTGAAAGAGGCCATATAAGGTGATTTTTATAAGGAAGTAACTGCAGGGGAAATACAAGTTACTTTCCAAGCAGAGATATTTGATATTACCTAAGGAATATTTTGAAAAGTTAATTTTTTTTCTTTAAAATTCAGGATTCTGTATTCCTGCTTGTTTTTGTCAATTTGGAAATTTAGTGTTGTATGTGATTTTATTCTTGGTGTAAGGCTCTAACACCATAATTTTAGTCTTGGTGTGCAGCTCTATGTAAATGTGTTTTATGGCTTGTCTTGGGATGCAAAGTGTTAAAAAATACAAAGCATACGGAGTTGCTGTGATAAGCATACAGATTAGCTGTCCACAGCTGTGATTCATTACTTTAACCGTAGAAATTAAAAGTGGCTGAGGGGAGGGTACAGCAAATGCAAACCACGCTTCTGTGCTGTAAAATTGAAAGGAATGAAAGAACAGAACATAATCCATGGCCTTCTACACCCACAAAAACGTGTAGGGACAACGCCTTACATGCCACAGTTCAGCAATTCTAAACTAGCAACATGCTAGATCTTCTCCTTTCATGGGAACTGCAAAGATAGTGGTAAAGGTTTAATGTATGTTTTAGGAAAAATCAGGGCAAGAGTTTAAAACCTCTTATCTAGTGAGAGTCACTTTATCAGCTCTGAAATATTTACACTACAGATCAAGATCTTGGAGACAATAGCCGCAACCTAGTTGGCAGAGGAAGCTCACCCCGAGGAAGTCTCTCGCCACGGTAAGCACTATTTACACTGCAAAGTATAGGCAAAGGAAACTGAGATTTGGAAACTTTCTTATCTCATATCAGTAGAGTGTACATTTGTGAGGTTATAAAAGCATTCTACAGATAAGAAGCATGTCTAGACAAGAAAAATGATTCCAAATTAATTTAAATACTAATTTAAACACCATTAGATTTCTAAGTAAAACAAATCCCTTTCCTTTGGTTTCCAGTCAGTTCGAACTCTTATTTATTACTTGTATATTGATTTGAATAATTCTTTTTGATCATAAAATAGTTTCAAGATCTCTTAAAGTTGTAGACCCAAGACTTTCAACTTTGGGTTCGTTTTAGCTCTGTTATAGGTATAGCACTTAATCCCTTAGTCTCCAGTTCCTAATTCAGTAAAGTCCTGTGGTAGATCACTAAATTCCTACTAGGTCTTAAATTGTTTGAATCAGTTATAGCAAATGTATTACAAGTTTTTTGAAATTATTTTATGACAGTATTCAGGTACCATTTATTAAAATATAATTAATATATTTGGGGTTACCGAACTGCATATTCCTTCTGTTCTAAATGGGGAGAATGTTGTATGAGATACTGTGTCTGTTTGTAGGGGAGAATGGAACTTTGGTGATGGCTATCTATTAATTTTATTTCCCTTCTGTGCCTTCTCTTTGTTTTCTCCGTGTTCTCTAATTTAGGAACCCTCCCTCAAACATGGTGTTAGACTGGGTGAGAATGGGTGAGAATGGAGAGTAAGAGAAAAACCCATTCTAGGGTCTTTCTTCTAAGTAAGGGAGAAATGTGATTAAAAATGAAAACTTTGGTCAGGCGTGGTGGCTCATGTCTATAATCCCAGCACTTTGGGAGGCCAAGTTGGGAGGACTGCTTGAGGCCAGGAGTTCAAGACCAGCCTGGGCAACATGGCAAGACTCCATGTCTACAAATTTTTTTTTTTCCAAAATGAACTTTTTCATGTGATGACAGATCATGAATAACAGTATTGCTAATATATTTGGGGAATGTCTGTTAAGGAACATCTTCTTTATCATAGAGATTAGTTCAGTAACCATTAACTTTATTTTCTAATGGTACATCTCTAGTGGTGCCTTTTTTCCTATATAATTCCTGGGTGAACTAAAAGTAGTGTTATTTTCCCTGATTGAACTCTGCAGAAAATCAAATATTCATTCTTTGGAAACCAGGAATCTGAAGAACACAGTGATAAACTAGTCTGTGATTTTATGTTGTGATTACTTCTATGTTGTTTTTCTTTTCAAAGAAGAAAGTTAATGGATGTTTGCTCGGTGTTTAGTGGAAGAGCACTTCTCTGTCCCCCTTTTAAACTTGAAATACTACAAGCTACCGAGAAATTATTAAAAATCTCTTAGTGCTATTTTGCTTAGTATAGTGTTTCCTTTTCATTAGTGAAATGGGACTTAACAAATGGTACTAAATTATTTTTAGCATATTATTTCCAACTTTATATTACTCTTTAGAAATCAGCCTGAAATGTAACAGCCTAAATTATTCTGGTATAATGTACTATTCGCAGAGGGATGGCCAATTGTATGTAGCCCATAATGTTTACATATGGAATAAAAACCCCATTTGTTTAACATCTACAAAAATTTTGTAGAGCAGCATATTAAGGCAGTGTCAAGAATTCTAGTGGGTTGTTAGAAGACCTGAGTTGTGTAGCCCAGCTCTTGTCACCTCACCAGCAGTGTGTCTTTGGACAAGTCACTAAAACTCCATCCTGTTTCCTCATTTGAAAATGGACCAGGCTTCAACTTCTCACTAGGTTGTTGTGGAGATCATATGAGATATATACAAACACATTGGAAATTCTAAAGCTCTTTAAATGTATTATGTTAGCATGGTAGCTGGAGATCAGAAATGGCCACACTTACTAATTTAAAACAAAAAGTGGAGAGAACATTACATGTTCATCTTAATACAAGTACTATTTGTTTTAGAAGGGTTGTTTATCATTTCAAGTATAGATCTAAGACATTTTAGAAATATTCATGTAAAAGGATCGAATAAAAATTGCTTTGGGGGCTGGGCATGGTGGCTCATTCCTATAATCCCAGCAGTTCGGGAGGTCTAGGCGGGAGGAACACTTCAGCCCAGGAGTTGGAGACTAAGCTGGGCAACGTGGTGAAATTCCGTCTCCCCTGCCCAACCTCCCCGCTACCCCCCCCCCCCAAAAAAAAACGCTGGGCGTGGTAGCGTGTGATTTTGTGGTCCCAGCTGCTTAGGAGGCTGAGGTGGGAGGATCGCTTGAACCCGGGACCGAGGAGGTCAAGGCTATAGTGAGCCATCACTGCATCACAGCACTCTAGCATGGCTGACAAAGTGAGACTCTATTTCCAGAAATGAAAGAAAAAAAAAATGCTTTGGTCTTATTTCTTAATTGTGAAAATACTTGAAAATGAGTAATTTTTAATTTATAACAAAAGGCTGCTTCAAGATTGTTAAACATTTCTTTTTAGTGATATTTGAGATTTTAGATGGTTGTAAATTCAAATATCTTTCACAATATTATAATTGTTTAGGGTTATTGTGATAGCAAATAAAGCAGAGTGGTGGAACTCTTTTCTCTTCTGGAAAATGATTTTTAAGTCTAATTTTGTCTTTCACCCTTTTGTCTTATGCCATACCAAGTTATTTTACAGCCTATTTCAGAGATTGTTGGTGGTGTGTTTATATTTTCTAGTGGTTTTTAATTATCTATGATGGCTAGCTATTCCCTTGATTCTATAATATTGAGAGGAAGAATGATAATTACTCAATTTTAGGGTAGATTATGGTTTTCTAAATCCAGGAACCTGATACTTCTGGCATAGGCAGCTTGATGTTATAACTCATACAGGAGAAAAGGGATCAGCTTAGGTAAGAAACTGCACTCTCTTAAAAGCATTCCCCTTCTTTTTAACTTGAGAATTGTTTTCAACAGATCCCCTGTAAGCAGCTTACAGATTCGCTATGATCAACCAGGCAACAGCAGTTTGGAAAATCTGCCTCCAGTAGCAGCCAGCATAGAACAGCTTTTGGAGAGGCAGTGGAGTGAAGGACAGCAGTTTTTATTAGAACAGGGTACTCCTAGTGACAGTAAGTATTCATTTTCTTACGTGTAAGTCAAGACGGATGGGCAGATGGACAAACAGGCAGATGGATGCAGAAGTCACTTTTCATCCAGAGTAGTAATGGGATTATGATATACATTTCATATAATACAGTGAGAGAAAGTATAAGGTAGTGGTTTAATAGAAGAGATTCTATAGTGTTACTGCTTATACTTGAATCCTGTCTTTACCTGTTATTAATAGTATAATCTTGGGTATGTTTTTTAAAGTTCTTTAGTCTCCTATTTTTACAATTGGGAATAATAATGCACCCATATCAGAGGGTTATTGTGAGGATTAAATGACATGAAAAATATTAGGACCACTGCCTGGCTCATATAGCATTGTCTCGGTGCTTACCATGATTATACATAGTGGTACTTTGTGTCTCCACTGTACTTTGTTCTTACCAGTTTACTAAAATATATGAGCACTGTCTTCTCTTAGCCCAATTGTTTGAAGAAAACTTGCTCACCTCTGGAAAACTTACTTTAAAAAATACATATAGTCGGCTGGGCGCGGTGGCTCACGTCTGTGATCCTAGCACTTTGGGAGGCCGAGATGGGCGGATCACGTCAGGAGATCGAGACCATCCTGGCTAACACGGTGAAACCCCGTCTCTACTAAAAATACAAAAAAAAATTAGCCAGGCATGGTGGCGGGCGCCTCTAGTCCCAGCTACACGGGAGGCTGAGGCAGGAGAATGGCGTGAACCCAGGGGATGCCGAGATCGCGCCACTGCACTCTAGCCTGGGCGACAGAGCGAGACTCCGTCTCTAGAAAAAAACAAACAAAAAAAACATATAGTCAAGTATGGCCGGCTAGCTTCTTCATAATTTGGAGGAAGACTAATAATTACTGAATTAAATCTATAATTAATATATATTATGCTTATCATCTGTTGGATTATAGAGCATGTACTATATATCTATATTTCAGTATCTTCACCATTTTAAGTATTAGGGCCATGGGTGTAAAATGCAGAGTTAAAATAGGTGGTGGTTAGCTGGAGATGTGGCCTTGTCTTAATTTTAGGGAAAAATAGGTGATTTTCGTCATTTTGGAGTATAAACTTTTGCTGCTTCATTTTATTTAAACATTTTGCTTATTGTTGGCTAAGTGCCATAAATTGGTATTTTGTGAATGGTAACCTGACAAAAAATGGTAATTGTGAGGAAATTTCATGCCGGGCTAATCCTTTAAACACGATAGCTGGAGGATAGGTTTAGCTTAGTCTTATTGCATCTCATTTGGGCCCACTAAGATCTCTTTGTGGGATCTTGGAGGGAAGGGATAAAAGCTAAATCCTTGGGAAATGGCCAGATGTGTCTGTACCAGAGGAGTTGTATCTTCTGAAGGCCCTGAGGTCATGTTAAACAAATACAACTTTTTAGTATGTGATGGACACTTCAAAAATCTTAACAGTAACACTCTGTGTTGTTAGTTGGGAGGTCCAAGTTGTGGAAGGAATTGAAGTACCTGAGGTGATGGGGGCCAGACCGAAAGCCAGCCTGTTCACAGGGGATGCGCCTTTTTCCAGGACTGGAGACGTGGCTGGGCGCACACATAGCGCTCCCTGCTGGGTGACCTGCAGAGCAACATGCTGAGCAGCTGGGATTAGGGGCTTCCTGCCAGGAAGTCTGATGGCAGCACTTCATTTAAATGGAACAACAAACAAAAACATGTGCTTGTTATTTTGGTAAAGGGTATTGGTGCGATCCTTAACCATTCTATATATGACTTCAATGAAAAATAGTGACAGGCTCTTGAATTTTTAATAGGCTTTTATTTTGACGAAAATAAAATGTCATCACTTTTCACTGAGAATGGAAAATTACCTGATGCTGGTGTGTGTGTTTTGGTATGTGGCAACAAAGTTTCCAGAAGGTACATCCAGGAACACTTTGCCTTTGTGCTTATAAAAATACATAGATAGGAAATTTAATCCCACATACAAATTTAGGAACAAAACTTAATCATTTAGAAACACTTTACAGAATTTCTACTGTTCTATTGTAACTTATTTCTAAGGTTACTGGCACTGTGTAAAATACTTAGTCTCATGTGTGTACTTGTTATTAAAAACTATCCAAATGTGTGCTAGTTTTAGGAATGCTGAAGTCATTACACCAACTTCAAGTTGAAAACCGAAGATTAGAGGAACAAATTAAAAACTTGACTGCCAAAAAGGAACGGCTTCAGTTATTGAATGCACAGCTTTCAGTGCCTTTTCCAACAATTACAGCAAATCCTAGTCCGTCTCATCAAATACACACATTTTCAGCACAGACTGGTAAGTGTGAAAATATTTATTTTGTATCTAAAGAAAATAGGCTTTCAACGTTATTTGTATTATAAGTGAGTAATAATTGGTCACCAGTTATATGAAGATGTAGAAAAGCAATGATAGGTCGTTTTTCAAGGGCATAAAGAATCCTGTTAAGTGATCAACTTGAATTTACTCTAACTTCCTTAGTCCATAATATAATGGTAACATTTACTTAAATGTCTAATGATCTCATTATTGATTTAAAGTGATGGTATTCAATATAGATTTTTTTTTCCTGTTTAAGTCAGTTAGGAATAGCAAGACTTGATATTTAAGTGGTTTTGATATGGGCTTCAGCATAAGCTTTTAAATAAGCCTTTAATCTTACACATAATGTAATTTAATAGGGTAAATAGGTTTCTTTCTTTTATTATTCCAGCTCCTACTACTGATTCCTTGAACAGCAGTAAGAGCCCTCATATAGGAAACAGCTTTTTACCTGATAATTCTCTTCCTGTATTAAATCAGGTAATTTTTGTGTGGTTATTTTCATCTGTGTGATTTACTTGTAAATAATAGTATATTATGTCAAATGGTTTTAAATTATTTTAAACAGTTTTGCTGTGTTCTTTAAATTTAGTTTCTCTTCTTACGCTAGGACTTAACCTCCAGTGGACAAAGCACCAGCAGCTCATCAGCTCTTTCTACCCCACCTCCTGCTGGGCAGAGTCCGGCTCAACAAGGCTCAGGAGTGAGTGGAGTTCAGCAGGTCAATGGTGTGACAGTGGGGGCACTAGCTAGTGGAATGCAGCCTGTAACTTCCACCATTCCTGCCGTGTCTGCAGTGGGTGGAATAATTGGAGCTTTGCCAGGTAACCAACTGGCAATTAATGGCATTGTAGGAGCTTTAAATGGGGTTATGCAGACTCCTGTCACAATGTCCCAGAACCCTACCCCTCTCACTCACACAACTGTACCACCTAATGCAACACATCCAATGCCAGCTACACTGACTAACAGGTAAGAAACTTAAGTATGTTTTGGGTTTTTTAGTGTAACTAACGGAGTACCAGTGTTGTCTATGCCTTAGATTGGGGCTTTCAATGTGCTCCTTTGTAGATATACCTTAAGAAGTCTGCCAAAAATTTTAAGTATATTATACACAGAGTACATTTATTTTTGAAACTTAGATTTAAATGAATTCACTTATAGTGACAGCATTAAATATGTTTTGTGCTGAAAATTAGTCGTAATCTGTGATGTCTATTTTTAAATACTAGTTTTTCTTATTTGTATATTGAATTCCTGTATCAAATTCTGAAGAAAGGTAATATAGTGGAGATAACATGAATATTAGTTTCTTAAAATGTATGTAATATTTTTAATATTCTAATCAAAGATTTTGGTATAGGATAAAGGTCATTTATTTATCTGAATTCCCAGGAAGTGAGACTCATTGGTTTCACTGTACTGGAACTGCATTTGAATGCTTGTTCAAAACTAGGGGACTAAAGCTATGTTGTTATTAAACATACTATGTTGTTATTAAACATACTTTTGGGGGAATAAATACTTTTAAATGGATTTGCAGTGGGTACTAGAAAGCTGTTTCCTCTAGCTCTCTTCATTGGTGTTTAGTTTTACCATTGGGACCATTAGAAAAGGATAAGTCAAATCAGTAGTATGTTTGGATTCTTTGTTTCAAATATGTGTTTACTTAGTGTGAGTTAAATTATCTTTGAATAATTAAAGATAAATTATTACATATGCCTGTTAGAAACACATGTAAATTTCTATTCCATAAAATAAGGTAAGGCCTATTTGTTTTATAATAAAAACATTTCTTGACAATGTGAATTCTTGTTTAGCTGTACACATACATATATATACACACACACACATAATTTGTACATAATTGTTTTCAAAGTGTTTGGATTAAAAATTGTACCTAAGTTATTAAACATCAAATTGAAAAGTTGTCTTTCATGTTTAAACTTCTAAAAATGCGTTAGAGGTGTGTAGTAAAAAGTAAGAATTGTAATCATTTTTCAGTGCCTCAGGACTAGGATTACTTTCTGACCAGCAAAGACAATTACTTATTCATCAACAGCAGTTTCAGCAGTTGTTAAATTCTCAACAGCTCACACCAGTAAGTTCTTTCTTTTGATAATATTTTATTAGGAGCATGTGTTCTAAGCTGTAATATTCAGTGTGGGTATAGATTTCTCCTTGTTAAATAACATTATTGAATGCATAATCCAAAAAGTTTTTCTTGCCATGTGGTATACAGGCTGTGATACCTGCAGTGATGTCACATTCACTCCTGAACTTAAAAGTGACAGGGCACGTGGCATGGTGCTTCCATAGGCTCTGGTAACACAGTGCCGAATGAGATGTGGTGTGTGTTTTCCCGGAGCTTCATTTTGATACAAGAGATGGATGGACACGATGAACGCTTTTTGGTTCTGATAAATGCTGAGGAGAACAAGGAAGTGGAATAAGGGGGGAAGAGCATAGGGAACCGAGGACCATTTTATATAGGATGGCCCTGCCTCTGCAAGGGGTGACTTTTGAGCACAGACTGACCTGAGAGCTCAGGGAGTATGCCATAGAGAGAAAGCATGTTGGAGGTAAAGGGGCAACTGCTGTCAAAGGCCTGGGCATGCTTGTGTGTGGAAGAGGAGGCAGCAGCAGTGTGGTCAGGGTGGGAGAGGTCAGAGCCAAGCAGGGAGTCTCAGATGATTGCAGACAACCTTTCTTGGCTGTGGCAAGAAATTTGGACTTTATCTTGAATACGATGAAAAGCCACTGGCGATTTTTTAAAAAATCTATTACGGAGAATTTCAAGTGTACCAAAAGTAGAGCGGAGAGCACCCTGAAGACCTGTGTAGTCCTCCTTCTCTCACCCGGCACTGACAATCTCAGTTTTGTTTATCTTATTTCATTCTCCATTTTTTTCAGGATTAAGAATTGGAGGGTTTTGAACAGAATAGTGAAATAATGATTTACATTTTGAAGGATTAGTTTTGCTGCTATATGAAGAGTAGTCTGTGTGTATTATAGGGTGTGGGGGAGTGAAGACAGGCAAAAGTGGAAACAGGGAGGGAGTGACCCAGGCAGGAGACGTAGGTGTTAAAATAGTATGGGCTATGTATTGAAAACTGCCTGGAATTGTGGTATATATAGTTATATTTTTGAGATAGAGTTTTCCTCTGTCGCCCAGGCTGGAATGCCATGGCATAATCTGGGCTCCCTGCAACCTCCATCTCCTGGGCTCAACTGATTCTCCTGCCTCAGCCTCCTGAGTAGCTGAGACTACAGGCATGTCCCACCATGCCTGGCTATTTTTTTTTTTTTTTTTTGTAGACAGGGTTTCACCATGTTGCCCAGGCTGGTCTTGAACTCATGACCTCAAGTGATCTGCCCTTAGCCTTCCAGAGTGCTGGAATTACAGGTGTGAGCCACTATGCCTAGCCCAGATGTTTTGAAGATAGAACCAATAAGACTTGTTTGCTGGACATACAAGAGAAAGAAGAATTCTGAATGGTTGGATAGTGACTTTTACTGAGATGTGGAAGAGCAGAATCCAGCCAGTTTTGGAGAGAAAAATAGGTGTCATGGACACACTAAGCTTGAAATCCCTTTAGATGTGCAAGTCAAGTGGAGATAAGACAGTTGCATAGTAGGTGTCTGGAGTCCCAGGCAAAGATGCAGTTAGAGATAGAAATCTGGGGTTAGTGCTGCACAGGTGATGAGAGCCATGAGATTTGATGCAGACTCCTAGAGCATGAAGACTGAGTCCTGGACACCCTAGAAAAGAATAAGCCAGTAAAGAAAGGCTATTGAGAAACAGTGGCCAGTGAGCCTAGACAAGGACACTGTGGCATCTTAGGGGCCAGGTGAAGGAAATGTTTCCAGAAAGGGAGGAGTCAACTGTGTAAAATGCTTCTGTGGTAGGGTAAGAAAGAATTGACCAACCGGGCGTGGTGGTGCATACCTGTGATACCAGTTAACTGGGGGGCTGAGGTGGGAGGATCACTGGAGCCCAGGAGGTTGAGGCTGCAGTGAGCTGTAATCATGCCACTGCACCTCAGCCTGGGTGGCAGGAACTGTTTCTTAAAGGTTGTCTAGAGACTTTTTACAGTTTGGGTGTGATAAAAGTAAAAACCTCGTAAATGGTTCAAAAGAAAATGGGAAGGAGAGGAAGTAAAGATAGCATATGGGCACCTTAAGACATGTCACTTTGGAAAGCAGAGGAAGGGGAAGGAGGAGGCGGATGTGGTAGTACCACGGGGCAGTTTTGACTCATTTTGAATGTGACAGCATGTGTGTATGCTGATGGGACATTTCTGGCATAGGAGAGAAGAAAGGTGCTAGCAGAGGAGGAGATGAGAACAGTATTTCACTGCACCAGCAGGGCAGGCAGAACAACTGGAGGTGGGTTTTATGTGGAGGGTTGAAGCAATCCCACTTTCAATGCTTCTGATTTTCTTAATTAGAAGTAAAGGGAGGGGCCGGGCGCGGTGGCTCAAGCCTGTAATCCCAGCACTTTGGGAGGCTGAGGTGGGCGGATCACGAGGTCAGATCGAGACCATCCTGGCTAACACGGTGAAACCCCGTCTCTACTAAAATAAATACAAAAAAGTAGCCGGGCGAGGTGGCGGGCACCTGTAGTCCCAGCTACTCGGGAGGCTGAGGCAGGAGAATGGCGTAAACCCGGGAGGCGGAGCTTGCAGTGAGCTGAGATCCGGCCACTGCACTCCAGCCTGGGCGACAAGAGCCAGACTCCGTCTCAAAAAAAAAAAAAAGTAAAGGGAGGGAGATGGGTGTTAACGGTTAGATGAGAGGGGAGATGGGAAATAGAGAACTTGGAGAAGGGGAGAAAGTATGGACCGAGACCCAAGTGGGGTTGTGGCTCAGGTGCAGGGCAGGCCTGGCCCTGTGGACAGTCATGGGGCTTCCTCCAGACCCATTTCCCTAGCACTCTTCATGTAGTTGGGCTGCTTGGAGAATGATTTTCAGTCTGTTTTTAGAGGGGTGTTAAAGGCACACTGCATATGAGTGTATATAAATTCTTAATTGCTGGCCGGGCATGGTGGCTCATGCATGTAATCCCAGCACTTTGGGAGGCTGAGGTGTGCGGATAGACTTGTTTGCTGGACATACAAGAGAAAGAAGAATTCTGAATGGTTGGATAGTGACTTTTACTGAGATGTGGAAGAGCAGAATCCAGCCAGTTTTGGAGAGAAAAATAGGTGTCATGGACACACTAAGCTTGAAATCCCTTTAGATGTGCAAGTCAAGTGGAGATAAGACAGTTGCATAGTAGGTGTCTGGAGTCCCAGGCAAAGATGCAGTTAGAGATAGAAATCTGGGGTTAGTGCTGCACAGGTGATGAGAGCCATGAGATTTGATGCAGACTCCTAGAGCATGAAGACTGAGTCCTGGACACCCTAGAAAAGAATAAGCCAGTAAAGAAAGGCTATTGAGAAACAGTGGCCAGTGAGCCTAGACAAGGACACTGTGGCATCTTAGGGGCCAGGTGAAGGAAATGTTTCCAGAAAGGGAGGAGTCAACTGTGTAAAATGCTTCTGTGGTAGGGTAAGAAAGAATTGACCAACCGGGCGTGGTGGTGCATACCTGTGATACCAGTTAACTGGGGGGCTGAGGTGGGAGGATCACTGGAGCCCAGGAGGTTGAGGCTGCAGTGAGCTGTAATCATGCCACTGCACCTCAGCCTGGGTGGCAGGAACTGTTTCTTAAAGGTTGTCTAGAGACTTTTTACAGTTTGGGTGTGATAAAAGTAAAAACCTCGTAAATGGTTCAAAAGAAAATGGGAAGGAGAGGAAGTAAAGATAGCATATGGGCACCTTAAGACATGTCACTTTGGAAAGCAGAGGAAGGGGAAGGAGGAGGCGGATGTGGTAGTACCACGGGGCAGTTTTGACTCATTTTGAATGTGACAGCATGTGTGTATGCTGATGGGACATTTCTGGCATAGGAGAGAAGAAAGGTGCTAGCAGAGGAGGAGATGAGAACAGTATTTCACTGCACCAGCAGGGCAGGCAGAACAACTGGAGGTGGGTTTTATGTGGAGGGTTGAAGCAATCCCACTTTCAATGCTTCTGATTTTCTTAATTAGAAGTAAAGGGAGGGGCCGGGCGCGGTGGCTCAAGCCTGTAATCCCAGCACTTTGGGAGGCTGAGGTGGGCGGATCACGAGGTCAGATCGAGACCATCCTGGCTAACACGGTGAAACCCCGTCTCTACTAAAAAAATACAAAAAAGTAGCCGGGCGAGGTGGCGGGCACCTGTAGTCCCAGCTACTCGGGAGGCTGAGGCAGGAGAATGGCGTAAACCCGGGAGGCGGAGCTTGCAGTGAGCTGAGATCCGGCCACTGCACTCCAGCCTGGGCGACAAGAGCCAGACTCCGTCTCAAAAAAAAAAAAAAAGTAAAGGGAGGGAGATGGGTGTTAACGGTTAGATGAGAGGGGAGATGGGAAATAGAGAACTTGGAGAAGGGGAGAAAGTATGGACCGAGACCCAAGTGGGGTTGTGGCTCAGGTGCAGGGCAGGCCTGGCCCTGTGGACAGTCATGGGGCTTCCTCCAGACCCATTTCCCTAGCACTCTTCATGTAGTTGGGCTGCTTGGAGAATGATTTTCAGTCTGTTTTTAGAGGGGTGTTAAAGGCACACCGCATATGAGTGTATATAAATTCTTAATTGCTGGCCGGGCATGGTGGCTCATGCATGTAATCCCAGCACTTTGGGAGGCCGAGGCGGGCAGATCACAAGGTCAGGAGTTCGAGACCAGTCTGACCAACATGTTGAAACCCCGTCTCTACTAAAAATACAAAAATTAGCTGAGTATGGTAGCGTGTCCCTATAATCTCAGCTACTTAGGAGGCCGAGGCAGGAGAATTGCTTGAACCCGGAAGGTAGAGGTTGCAGTGAGCCGAGATCACACCACTGCACTCCAGCCTGGACGACTAGAACGAGACTCCGTCTCAAAAAAAGAAAAAAAAAAAATGCTGACCCTAAGATTGGGATCTTGTTTTTCTTATCTGTTGCCTCATCTTAATATGAGTACTAAAACTCTGTTTGTTTGGGTGTCTTCCTATTAATCAAGATTTTACTCTAATAATAGCACGTATAGATGTCTCATTTCCAGAACTTGGTTAAAGAATTTTCAGCACAAATTATTGCTTGGAGACCATGAGGACTAAAGGACTGTAGTTTTTCCTTCATCCGCCAGTGTTGTGGGCTAAAGTTTGTTCATTTACAGGGATCAAACGATGTAGGTGAGAATTTGTTGGAAGCCTCCGCACAGCTTCCGCCCGACACTCTTGCTTGACCCTGCTTCCCCCAGATGACCTGCATGGTGCTAAATCCAGTGGTCAGTTCTCATTCTTCATCTTATGTGACCTGGCAACAGCATTTGACAGAGTTGATCACTTTTCCTCCTCCTTGAAACATTTCCTCCCCTCAGCTTCCAGGATACCACATCATCTTGGTGTCTTCCTATAACTGGTCATTCCTCTTTAGCATCCTTTCTTGGTCCTCTTCTTCAGCCTCTTGAGTGCGCCCAAGGTGGAATTCAGTGATTTCCTATCGCTATCCTTAAATAGCATCTCTGTGCTGATTTACATCTCCAGCCAGACCTCTCTGTGGAGCTTCAAGCTCCTGTAATCCATCTGCTCACTCAGTAGCTCCACTGGTTGTTTTTTTTTTTTTTTTTTTTTTTTTTTGAGACGGAGTCTCGCTCTGTTGCCCAGGCTGGAGTGCAGTGGTGTGATCTCGGCTCACTGCAACCTCTGCAATCTCGGCTCACCGCAAGCTCCGCCTCCTGGGTTCACGCCATTCTCCTGCCTCAGCCTCCTAAGTAGCTGGGACTACAGGCGCCCAGCTAATTTTTTTGTTAGTAGAGATGGGGTTTCACCATGTTAGCCAGGATGGTCTCGATCTCCTGACCTCGTGATCCACCTGCCTCAGCCTCCCAAAGTGCTGGGATTATAGGCATGAGCCACCACGCCAGGCCTCCACTGGCATATCTTAAAAGACATTTCTAACATGACGTGTCCAAAACCAAACAGCTGATCTTCCTGCACAACCCTGCCCCACCCATCGTTTTCCTCAGGTCAGCTGATGGCAGCTCCATCCTCACTCTGACACCCCACATTGACTCCATCCTGAAATCAGACTCTGCCACTTCTCAAAACCTTCCCATTTTACTATGAATACAAGCCAGGCTGGCCATGCCTTGCCACTGCAAGCTCTGCGTTCTTCTCACTTCCTCCTGGCTCCCTCCACCCTCCCCAGGTCCTTGCTGCTACTGGATCCTGCTGGACCTGCCCCTCTGGAGGCCCTTGGCACTGCCTGGAAATCCTCGTCCACCCCCATATCCACCCAGCTAATTCCCTCATCTCCAAATCTTCATCCAGATGTTAACTTCGCAATGAAAACTGCCCTGGCTAATCTGCTTAAAATTACAACCTGACCATTAAACCCTACTCCCTCCAGACTTTCTCAATCACAATTCTGTTTCCCTTGACGCAGAGCAGTAATCACATTCGAACGTTTTCATTTATTTGCCTTTCCCTGCTCAATGTGTTTCAAGCACCAAAAGCAGTGCCTGGCACCTAGTAAGCGCTCAGGGAATCTATAAATATATGCTGCATGAAGTATATGCTTGCTGTAAAGAGTGGTCTGTAACTGTGTCAAGAAAGCACCCTAATGACAGGCAGGAACGGGAACTTTAAAGTTGTTTTAAGTTTGGAAAGGGTTTGACCACGCATGATGCATTCAAATGTCCACCTTGATTTCTCTAAGCTGCTGCATTCCCTCATTGGTCATCACGGATAACCTAATAGAAGTCTCCTATGTGTGTCCTGTTTTAAAAATAAGCTGTTCACTGAAGATATTGACATTTTATAGCAGATAGTTATTAATCTAGTACAGCATATTTTCCTAGATGAGATACTTGTTTTCTTTCTTAGCAAATATCTAATATTAAAGGAAAGAAAACAAAAGGCAGATTCATCTGATTGCTGAATTCTGTGCTTGGGAACTCACTTTCACGTTTTTCCCTAAGGAACAACATCAAGCCTTTTTGTATCAGTTAATGCAACATCACCACCAGCAGCACCACCAGCCTGAACTTCAGCAGCTGCAGATCCCTGGACCAACACAAATACCCATCAACAACCTTCTTGCAGGTACACAGGCACCCCCACTTCACACAGCTACCGCCAACCCATTTCTCACAATCCATGGAGATAATGCAAGTCAGAAAGTAGCAGTAAGTATGTTTTCCTTACTACATCTAATGAAACAAGAACTGTATTGAATAATCAGAGATGATCATTTTCCAGCCTAATTTTGTTCCCCTGATCATTTCTTCTTAAATCCCGTTGCTTTTAGCAGATGGATATTATAGGCAAAGGATCTAAGCCAATTTATACATCCCCTAAGTGTATCAGTTTGAATTTGCACATTAGGTTTGAAGGCTGTTTTATAATTCAGCAATTTTCAAGATGACAGTATATTTTAGTTAGCAAGTCATATGGGACAATCAAAAGACAATGGTTGGCGCTTTCTGAGAAGCTTTGTTTAGTTATAGAACCAGTCTATGTAACTTGAAAATATTTTTATTTTACTCTAAAGTGCTTTTTACTGATTAAGTATATTTATTACCAAGATTAATACATACATTTTAGGGCACACAATCCAATTATTTTACCAGATTACTTTAGAGAAAGTAAATCAGTAACATCTGTAATGGAATTCAAATTTTTAGTTATTTTCATGTAAGTGATGGCATCTTACCCTTTCAATGTGAAAGTTAAATTAAAAATGGATGCAGGAACAGTATTCTACACATACAGGAGAACCCATTTTAAGGCCGTTTCTTTCTATTAATTCTCCCCTTCAATTAGATCTACTTTACTGGAGTATAAATGTTTCCCCTAAATTCCAGTTCAGGGCAGAACCCTGTTAGAGGAAGGCTATGGGGATGTAGAATGGAGACTGGACATCAGGAAAAGGAAGAAGGGAGAGACTGAGGTGGGAGACTTGGCAAATGAGTGTTCAAAGTTGCAGTGTTTGCTATTTCCCGTTACTTTGAAAATTTTGTTTACTGTGCTTTTAGTCTTCAGAAACTTTAGTTTGTACTTAGTAATGAGAATTATTCAAAATAGAGGATTGTTTTTCATGAACTCTTCAATGCTTTCTGTTTGCCCTCTTGTCTCGCCAACTTCCTGTCATCACACACGGCGTTTACCTCTCCAGTGTTCTGCTGACATGGGCAATTTTCAGTGATTCTGTATTGAGTTCTTTGGTAGCATTTTTTCCCCCTGTGTTTCACAATTTTTTTTCTTGTGTTAAGAAATGCACTGATTACAAACTTTTCCTAGGTTATACAATATGAAATGTATTTAATGGAAAATCACAGTAATTTAATGAGATAATAGAGGAACACAGTGCTGGGAGGTGCTGTTTGCTCAGTACCCTGCTATGTGCTGGGGTCCTTGCTAGATACTGTGACATCTGATTTCAGTCTTTAAAATAATAGGCTGTAACTCCATTGTTTATAGATTAGTAAAAGGAAATGCAGAGAAAGCCCAAGGACAAATAGCAAATGTGGAATCACAGCCCATGACTTTCTTGGCCCATAAAAATTTTGTTCTCTACAGTACCATGTTACTTTTGTGGAAAAGTTGATTTTGGAAGATGAATTCTGCATTCATTCTTTAGAAGTTCTGTCCCTCAGATGGGCCCACCTCTTTGGTCTTCTTATACTGTTGAATTTAATGTTTTTGAAGTATTTACTAGTAAATTCATGTCTATATATTATGTTGCAAGTAGCCTTGCCAACTTAAAAGAAAGAAGGGAATAACTTTCTATACCACATTTTATCTCAGTTTCAAATTGGGAGGATATTATCAAAAGTTGATTTAGCTAACGCATCTGCTCTTTTGTTTAACTGCAGAGACTTAGTGATAAAACCGGGCCTGTAGCTCAAGAGAAAAGTTGACACCTGAGAAACATCTAGAAATTGCCTGTCCTGCTGTTCTAGCACTTCATCTGGCTGCCTTTGCAGTCCTTTTACTACAGCTATGAAGAAATGCAACAAGAAACTTAATGCACAACAAAGGATTAATTGCCGCAAGGACATTCTTGTAAGGCTTTGATCAGTTTTCTTGTTGCTTTGTTGCACTGAAATGGAATTCCCATGCCCCTACCCCTTACCCCAATTTTTTGAACATGGAAAGAAAATTTAATACGTTTTTAAAGTGATATAATTTACATGCAATATGTTTATCAACTCAAGAATATAGTTGGTACACAACTAGGTTTATAAATTGGAGATATGAATAACAAAACTAAATACTTGTTCCATTTACAAACTACTTGATTTTATTGTACAAGTTGAAATATGCTCTTTTGTTTGGGTTACAGTATGCTTGCTCTAAGTCAAATTCCAAGGAACTAATTTCTTCTGGAGTTCCATTGATTCAATATTACAAATATATAGCGCATCACCTGGGACTTGGCAATCTTTGTTAAAAAATATTTCCTTTCTAATGGGATTTAGCCAGTTTTGGTAATCAAGTTAGGATGGTAATGTCTGCATCTGCTAAAGGTAATTTTCTTTTGAGAATTGCTTTCTTTAGTGTTAAGAGCTACTCATATTTTAAAGAAACCTTGAGTTAACTGAGTTCTGAGGCTGCTGGGGGAACCAGATCAATTCAAAGCGAAATATTTCTTTCAGAAAGGGGCCACTCTGGAAAGTGCTGGTGGGGTTTGCCCTTGATCAAGTGCCTCCATTGTGCTGCAAGGGCTCTAGACAGCAGGGTGGGACAGTCAGTCCTCCGAGCAGCAGGAATCATCCCTTCACACCTGCAGCCTTCCCATGCTTCCGCCTTTATTCAGAACTTTCTGTGCCACTGTAGATAGCTCAGGCAAAACTATTACCTGGGTATTTATCCACTAATGAGTCACAAGAAAAGGAGTGGATTTGGTAAGAATAGAGAGTTGTTTTATTTTAACCACTTCCCATTACTGACCATTAAAACAAAAGCTCACCACTAGAGTTCCTGAAAACAGGTGAAACCTGTATGACAGCCCTTCCACTTTGGGGAGCCACACTTTTGATGTGACAGTACCGCAGAGTGATCCACCATGGGGGATGTAATCACCAAACTGTTCTTTGGTGTGTGAATTATTAGTGGAAAAGACCCAGCTGTAATTAGACCTCCACTGTGTACTTAGCTGGAAGAACATGTTAATTCTGCAATATGTCTCTTGGTTAAACATTGCACAGTTCTTACCTCATTTCTGTAAATAAAGTTTTGTGAATCTGTTTTGTATTGTGAAAAATTCATAAGATAACATTGATATTTTGATTTGTAATATTTCTAATTGGTAGATTTAATTGAAAAGTAAAATTAATTTATTTTTATATGTTCAGGGGAATTTTAAAGTCAAGTATTTTGTAGATAATTTAAAAAATCAGTGTGGTTTATTTTACTTATTTAACCCACTGGTTGTTATTCTGTAACAGTTTGTATAAATGGTAAATTTTGAATGTGTTGTTATTTTACCTAGATGTAAAATTCCACATGTATTAAAGTGTACAAAGTTTTGTTAATAAAATTTAATAATGTTTATAACTCCGTGCCATTCTCATTTGGAGAGGATGGAGGGGGTACATCCATGTTGCTTCCTCAGGGAGTCTTGGCCTGTGTTTTGTGTTTGGAGCACTGGTATATTGCCCCGGAGTTAATGGAAACTCTCATGAGCAAATGCTATACGATGTGCAAGGCATTCTGTAAAGCAGTGTGCAGTACAAACCCACCTCGGGCTCAGAGATCTTGGATCATCCTCAGATGAGAGGGAGAGTGAAGAGGGAAATAGCCTCGGTGGAGATAAAAGGAAAACAAAGTCCAGATAAGATAATTAATTAGAGCCCGTTGATAAAGCAGTACTCACACTTGGTAGAGATTCGATTCACTTACACAGCTTTAACTAGAGGCATTCCATGAAAGAGAAGCCCAATCTATTTAGTGGGCTTGGTAAGCATCAGAATCACCTGTGGTGCTTTTCAAAAATATAAATGCTCAGACTTTATCCCAGACTTAATTGAATCCAAACATACTGATCTGTGTCAAGTGCTCCTGGTAATTAAGAGACAAATGTACAAGAAAAACTGGTCGTAGGCTATAAACTTTATTAAGGAGCAAGTTTTGGGTTCTTGGAGATTTTTTTTTTTTATGCACATGAAAAAATTACGATTCTAGAAATTCATCTGTCTCCCAAGGTGAAGGATTACCTTCACCTAGAATGACAGGTGACTCATCCATCAATTCCTGCGAGTTTAGTTTCTTAACACGTGTCCTTTGCCTTAGCTGCGTGTTTGTAAGCGTCCACTTCTGTAGCTTTCTGGCTTCCTGGAGGCTCCAGGACATTGACCTCGTCATCCTGTGTTGCTGCCCTGCAAGGCCCTGGCAGCTGCTGGTTCGCATGTGCGCCTTGTGTTCTGGGAAGGGCTCTGAAGAGCTACTGCCCTGCTGGTGGCCCTGAGCCCTGAAGAAGGTCGACACTGACTGGTTGCTATCTGCACTTCTGTGCTTTAGTCCTGTGGTTGTGCAGTCCATGTTGTGGGTCAAGATCAAGCACTGGGCCAAGACAGAAAAGCCAAGTCGTTGTCTTACACAGTCTACCAAGCAGAAGGGAAAGATGATCCCATAATCCTCCCAATAGGCGGGAGAGACCCTTGGAATTTGCAAGGGAGGTACCACCTTACAATGAAATGTAATTTTGCTTTCATAAGTGGATTATGTACTTAGGTTTTAAAAGAGATGGTCTCACTCTGTCGCTGGGCTGGAGTGCAGTGGCAAGATCATAGCTCACTGCAGCCTCAAACTCCTGGGCTCAAGCAATCCTCCTGCCTCAGCCTCCTGAGTAGCTGGCACTACAGTTAAGAGCCAACGTGCCTGGCTCTCTGGGTCATGTCCTTCCAAGTAGAAATCTCAGACAAATACTGTTCATCTTAGTTTTACTTGTTGAAAATAAAACATCAATGATACCATCTTTTCATATAAACTAGGCTTTTCAGAATGAAATAGGGGTGAACTTTTATAATTTGGAAGTCATTTTTTAAATAATTTGTTAAAATGCATGTCAATTGTTTTTCCATTCCCCAATTTGTTATTTGCAACAAAAGAAATGTCCTTTTCGCACCACTTACTAATTTTTGCAATTCAGTAAAAATTTATGTAAAAATGTAAGTTTCGTTTGACTGTGACTTAGGTCACAGTTCAAGTTTGGCAGGTCTGTCTTAAGGGAAAGATTCCCCATTGAGGTAAACAAACAGGGGCACACATGTCCCTTCTAGCTGTCTGACACATCTCAGCCTCAGATCCCTGGCTGCATCAAGGTCTGGAGGTCCACAGTCACATGTGGAGTAGACAAAGTGCCCATTTTCCAAGTGTGTGATCCACATCCACCTCAGGGCACTGGTGACACTTTTAGGTGTTAGCATTAACCTATTTAAGTAATAAAACTTAGCATGACCACTTTTTAAAAAATTTGAAACCAGAAAAAAAAAAGTCCTGTCACTGTTTTTTTTTTGAGACTGAGTCTCACTGTCACACTGGCTAGAGTGCAATGACACAATCTCAGCTCACTGTGACCTCCACTTTCCGGGTTTAAGCAATTTGCCTGCCTCAGCCTCCCAAGTAACTGGGATTACAGGCAACCACCACGCCTGGGTAATTTTTGTATTTTTAGTAGAGATGGGGTTTCACCATGTTGGCCAGGCTGGTCTTGAACTCCTGACCTCAGGTGATCCGCCTGCCTTGGCCTCCCAAAGTGCTGGGATTACAGGTGTGACCTACTGTGCCCGGCCTTTCACTTTTTATAAAATATGATACATCTGTAATTTTAATATTTTCTTTTCCTACATGGTTGAGTGTTCAAAGTTACGGCCTGCTTTTGTCACTTAAATAAAAAGTGACAGGAAAGATCTTAGAAATCAAATTTTGTGTTTTTTAAATTAGTCATTTTCTGGGCCAGATGGGCAGTTTCCCACTGGCATGGTTGTCGCAGCATGAGCTCTAAATGTTGTTCCCTTGTCTTTTAGGGGAAGGGGGTCTCAGGGGATTGGAGTAGCGGCAGCATAAAGGGCAGGGTTGGGAAGGACCAGCGCTAGTCACAAGGGACCAGGTGGGCACAGGAAATGAGGCTGGAAGGCGGCTGTGGGTTTGCAAGAAAGATGATTGGTGCTGTGCTGGAGCGTGGTTTCTGTAGTTCTGTGGCCACAAAAGATTGTAAATGCACATTAAGCCAGCAAGCAGCGTGTGGATAGGGCAGTGAGGCACCCTCTCTACAAAACAAAGTTAGCCAGGCATGGGGTATACACCTGTAGTCTGAGCTATTCAGGAGGCCTAGGTGGGAGGATCATGTAAGTCCAGGAGGTCACGGTGGCAGTGATCATGCCACCACACTCCAGCCAGGGTGACAGAGACCTCATCTCTAAAGGGGCGGGGGGCGGGGGGGTGCAGCTAGCAACTGGTCGGGCACGATTACTCACACCTGTAATCCCAGCACTTTGGGAGGCTGAGGTGTGTGGATCACCTGAGGTCGGGAGTTCGAGGCCAATATCAAGACACCCCGTCTCGACTAAAAATACAAAATCAGGCATGGTGGCATATGCCTGTACTCCCAGCTACTTGGGAGGCTGAGGCAGGAGAATCACTTGAACCCGGGAAGTGGAGGCTGTGGTGAGCTGAGATTGTGCCATTGCTCTCCAGCCTAGGCAACAACAGCAAAACTTCATCTTGAAAAAAAAAAGGTAGGGGGATTGGCTAGCCGCAAGGTGCAGAGTGGGTAAATTCAGGGGAAAGGCAGATGGGAGAAGGTGGATACTAGGAGACAAGTGCGTTATTTCTAGATCTGGGTCCAAATATTCTGGATGAACTCACTGCCTCTTCTCTGGCCTGCTTTTTGTTGGAAGCTCCCAAATTCCATGAGGTTGAATTTTCAGGTTTTGTTCACAACTCTTGGTACATCTGGTTTACTTCAGGTACAACCAGAGCTAGGCCTTTGGTTGGTGAGAACTCCAGCGCCCCACCCTCCAGGTGAGCCATCAGTGTGGCCGCCACCCTTGTCTACTTTCAGATGGCAGAGACATGTCCTTTGAGTGTGGGCAGTTGGCAGCGGGTGTTGCCATGGGTGCTGACCCAGACGTCATGTCAAGCCCTTCACCTGCCTTACCTCACACCTCCACTTCACACAACCCTGTGAGGGCTGTTTTCTTTCCCCCATTTTGCAAATTAGGAAGTTGAGGCTTAGGAGGGTACAGAGTCACATAGCTGCCAAAATGTGAATTGGTGCAATTAAGAACAAGAATGATCTGAGGCAGGTAAAGTGGCAGCGCCCCATGATGCCCTTAGAGCCCCTCCCGACTCCGAGTTCACTAAGGAGTGGTGGAGGCTGGGACACCTCTTCAAGACTGAGGCCTCTCAGGGTGTGGGCTCGGCTCATCCATCCAGTGCTGGCTCCCAGCACAATTCCACCCCTTGCTGTGCACCCCAGCAAAACCCAGCCATGCTGTTCTCGAACATGCCATGTCCCTGACATCCCTATGCCTTTCCCAGGCATCACTGGTAACTAGAATCAAAGACCTGGACATGGCTATGGCCGGAGTTTGAGCTGTCCCTAGCTCTGCATTCATTTGTAGTCTTTCCAAGGGGTGTGGGGGTGTGAGAGCCTTAGCCTGGCTGCAGACTGGAAAGGAACTAGGGAAGAAACCAGAGACCCCTCGGTGGACCTGTGAATTGAACTGGTTTGGAGAATTCAGGTGAGATGATGTGAGAGGACTGGAGAAGAGAGACAAGTTGGAATCCCCTCCCCCCCGCAAAAAAAAAAGCTGGGGATGTTTCAACCCCCTGGAGGCTTTCAGGGCAAAGGAATTCACCTTTTCTAAGGCCCTAGCTCCAGAAAAGCTGCTTTCTCAACTCCGTGGGAGGGACTCGTACTCTCCAGCTTACTGGAGAGGAGACCACACTGGCCGTTTGCCATACCTCTGCTCTGGCTCTTTTGGACATCAAGGAAGCACCATAGCTCCCTGGATAGAGTGGAGGATTCTGCCAGGTATGCCAGGGGAGGATTAGAGCAAAGGGCGCTGGAACCATAAAGTTGGCCCTCACCAGACCCCTAACAGAGGGGGGCAGTTGAAGTCAATGGGATGGAGAAGGGCGAGGACAAGGAAGAAGACTGCAGACTTTGGGGACACCAAGACTACCAAAGCAAAAGATCAAACATCTGGAGAGGAATCTGAGGAGGAGCCAGGGGAACTCTTGGTTTGATTTATATCCATTTCACTCCAGAATGTGAAGCTGCAAAAAGCTGGAAGATGTCACACACCGCCTTCAGGATTAAAGGGGTAAGATCAAGCCTGAAATCACCTTTTGGACGTGGTACTCAGGTATGTGGTGACATGAACAGGAGCAGCTTTGGCGGTAGGAAGAGGGGCTAATAGGTAGGAGACAGTGTCTAAGGCTCCCAACGCGTGCCCTTAAATACTTGATTGTACACTGAGGTGGTATCAAGCCAGTGTCAGTTCAGCTTGCTTTAACAAAGTGCCATAATCGGGCTGGATGTGGAGGCTCAAGTCTGTAATCCCAGGACTTTGGGAGGCCAAGGCAGGAAGCTCACTTGAGGTCAGGAGTTTGAGGCTGCAGCTATGATCACTCCACTGCACCCCAGCCTGGGTAAGACCAGGACCCGGTCTCGATGAAATAATTTAATAAATGCTGTAGTCTGGGTGACTTACATACAACAAATGTATTTCTCCAAGTCAGTGAGGCTCTGTTCCAGAGGCAGAAGGCTGACTCACAGGGAAGGGGGCAACTCTGCTCTCTGGCCTCCCATTAGTGGGGGCTCCACCCTCTTGACCTAATCACCTCCAAAGGCCCCACCTCCTGATCCCATCTCCTTCAAGGTTTGGGTTTGGACACATGACCTTGGTGAGGGGAGACACATTCAGTCCACTGCAACCAATGAAAAAGAAGTTACCTCATGGTTTGCAGCAAACTCAACAGCGTTATCTTCATTTTGCTAGCACCTTCCAAAGTTTAAAATTAAAGCATGACATTTCACTTTGTGCCGATCAGGTTTGTTTTCCTTCAAACACTGATGGTTGCATCTGGGGGTTTCTCACTTGGCTCCCGTAACAAGCAGATGGATAAATTAGGGGATTCCATCTTGGCAGCGCCGCCACCTTGCTGGTTCCCCGGGGCTCTTACAGAGCAGGCAAGGTCAGGTGCTCTCTGCAGCTAAGTTGCCCGCGTACATTGGAATTGTTGAACAAAACAGGGTCCCATTTGCTTTGCAAGCTCTTGGCCTCATGCAGTGGTTCTTCCTGGCTGGCCAGTAGAATCACCTGGACATCAGCACCTTCATGCAGGGATTCTCTACCCAGGACCCATTATTTCCCCGCCCCACGAAACAGGGTCTCATTCTGTCAGCCAGGCTAGATGGCAGTGGTGCGATCATAGCTCTGTGCAACCTCAAACTCCTGGGCTCCAGTGATCCTCCCACCCCAGTCTCCTAAGTAGCTGGGGCTACAGGCATGTGCCACCGCATTTGGCTTTTTTTTGTAGAGACAGGGTTCATGTTGCCCAGGCTGCTCTCAACCAATCCTGCCTTGGCCTCCCAAAGCGCTGATCACAGGTGTGAGCCACTGCACTGGGCCCACATCCAATTTTTAAATTCTAGTTTTTAACAGAACAGGACAGACATAATTGTATCCAAACAGCAAATTTCCAATAGTGATTTTTTAAGCCAAGCCTCTGAAGGGAAAACAGTTGAGATCAAATATGTCAAGACATCTGTTTAACTGCAGTGATATCTAACTTTGTGAAACCAAGATTGGAACCAAAATGACAGTATAAGCAATGAGACATTTTATCTCACATTTTACAAGATATTTCTTTTTGAGTAATAACAAAAGCAAACATGACCAACATGGCTCATTTTCCTTTATGACTTAGGCCACAGTAAATCACATGGCGACCCTACTGTTGCCCCCCAAATCTGTCGATTTCATTTTGTAAACGGTATACTGTATGACCCACAGATGACCCAGGGACACTCTTGGTTTGGGACCGTTCCTGACAAGGCTGTGAGGGCAAGAGGCCACCCTGGCCTGGCTCCCACTCCGCGTCTCAAACTCGGGCCTGGCCTGGCTCCCACTCCACGTCTCAGACTCGGGCCTGGCCTGGAGTGTGGTTACAAAGGGAGTCCCCAGACCCGAGAGAAACACCATTCATGTTTCAGCCCAATATTTAGAAGTCGGATTTGTTTTAGAAAATACCAACATGTTTTCACCAAATGACTAACCTTGTCCAGTTGCAGTCACGCAGGCCCCCACACCAAAGTCTCACCTCTCCTCAGCCTGCAGAGCCAACTCCTGGTCTTAAAGGCCTGAGCTCAGGTGCTGGTCCGTGGCTAGGGGCGGCAGACCTGCAGCACAGGTGCCGGTGCACGTAGTTGTAGGAGATCCTGCCAGGCTGGGTCCTGACTCAGGTGTCTCTGGGGCTCAGCCATTCTCTGAGGCAGGTGGGTCTTCACGAGGGCTGGGGCAGGACCAGGACTCACCTCTACCCTGGGGCGTTCTAAACCAAAGCAAGACAATGGACATCTCTGAGCTGTCCTTCCTCTCTGGGGAGTTCAGCGCCCCTCTGAAAATCTGCAGGCATTTGGGATTGGCCACTTGTTAGCAATGCCCCATAAGACAGGAAGGCCACATCCTGTAGCGCCTAGGCTGGGTGTCCTGGGCCCCAGGGAACACATGGCCTCCCTGTATGCACAGAACATGATTTAAACCGTGCCATTTAAACTGTAGGAACAAGCCTAACTGCCAAAATGAACAACAACAAATACCCTAGAAAATGAAGTTGGGATGAAATACTTGAGAGAGCTTTAGTTCTCCACTTGGAGAGGAGTTTGGGGGAGTGTGACTGGCATATATCAAGAAGCAGCCCTGCAGCAGGAGGCATTTTTTAAAGTGTCTGAAGACATTGACAGTGGAAAGCTTATTACGGTCTTATTCTAAAACTGCGAAGGGAATTTGAGAACACTCCAGTGGAAGACTAAACCCACAGTCTGCAACTCAGGGTGTTTGCCAAGCACGTGCGGACCAATTGAAGACAAACTCCCAGGCAGTTCCCAAAGCAAATTCTGCAGATGAATCGGATAATTTGGTGAAAATCTAAGTAAGCTGGTCCACTGATGAAAAAAACCTCCTTCCCACCCCAACTTTTCCTAATAAGGCATTCTAAGGCCGTGCACGGGGAGCTCTTGCACACCTGGGGAAGAACGTGGCTTGGCTGCACATCCCAAACATTCCTGACCCCCTGTGGGGGGCGGGCGCAGAACCCCCATTGGGGTAAATAAAACGACAGGTGAGTGTGCTTTGAAGAGTGGCGCGATAAACAGTTTGAGGAAATAGTAACGCTGACATTTCTGCCCCAGTGGGGAGAGGAAAATTTAAACCACTAAAGGGTAAGAGACTCGGGTGTCCAGGAAGATGAGGGCAGAGCCCCCGCGCCTGGTGTCATGCCTGGGAGTACCCTGCTGCTCTGTGCTCTGTGGGGCTGAGCGGGGTGGGGGCTGCAGACGGCCTCCCTCCCTCCCTCCACTGCTCCCCCATCCCCTCCCGTCCCCCCACCGCAGCCCTCAGAACCACAGCCCTCTCCGTGGCCTTGGTCCCTGCTCCTTCCCCATGGTCTTCACCTACGACTCAGACGTGGGTCTTCTGATCGAAACTCTGCCCTTTCCCTAAACTACACCTGAGGAAGAGGAGACCAGGCTGAGGTCAGCCCTAGGGAAGAAATGTCCCCACTTAGTGGCAAGGGGAGGAGCACAAGATGGGGGCAGAGCCGAGAGGGGCCCTGAGCGTGAAGGGCTTTCCCAGAGCGGCTCGCTGCCCCTCAGGTATTAGCACCTGCATTCTGTGGACAGGAAACGAGCCCCAGAGAGGGGCTAACATCACTTGCCCAGGCCCTGGTCATCAGCAGTAGACCCGGGACTTTGAGCCCTTTCTGCCTGAGGCCCAGTCTAAGGTTCTCCTGCACACCACACGGACCCTCCTGGGGCCATGTCAGGAGAAACGTCACCGCACAGGCTGTGAGCCTTTTTGGGTGAGAGGCCCTTGGGGCACCCAGTGAAAGATGTGGACCCTCTCCCCAGAAAAGTACACATCCAAGATGGAATGATTTTGCAGGCCTGTTGCAGGTCCCCGGAAGTGCACAGAGTGACCCAGGCCCCTAGGCCCCGGGCTGGGATTCCCGCCCCCATGGGCAGGAGATGGAAGGAGCTTGGCCCTGCCCCATCAGCCCTGCTGTGGCCATCGCCACGCAGAAGACGATGGTGACAGGAAGCCAGGCTGTCAGAAATAACATTGTTTCTGCCAAGCCAGGCACTGCGTTAGAAAGAGTTCACACAGATTATCTCACTTTATCATCCTAACAACCTAAGTGGCAGCTGCCATTATTCTCTCTTTTCCCAGATGAGGAACTGAGGCACAGTAGTAAAACAACACACCTGATGTCACCCAGCTCCATGGACAGTGGGAGAGCCAGCGTTCTCCACCTCCAACCAGGTCTCACTCCCCGCAACATGAGCAAATTGACATGGCCATGGGGGCGAGAGGTGAGGGGGCTGCCAAGAAGCTGGAGCCGTGGGGTCCCCAGAAGTGGAGGCCTGGAGGCAGCGCTGGGGCCCACTGCACCTCAGGGCAGCCCTGGGCTGTTCTCCGTACCAGCTTCACCCTCAGGAGACTAAGTTATGCCCTGCTGAGGATGTTCACAAGGATGCACTGCAGGCCCCAGAGGCGATCCCCCTGGAGAGGCTCCAGGCCTAGGACGCACTGCAGGCCCCAGAGGCGATCCCCCTGGAGAGGCTCCAGGCCTAGGACGCACTGCAGGCCCCAGAGGCGATCCCCCTGGAGAGGCTCCAGGCCTAGGACGCACTGCAGGCCCCAGAGGCGATCCCCCTGGAGACGCTCCAGGCCTAGGACGCACTGCAGGCCCCAGAGGCGATCCCCCTGGAGAGGCTCCAGGACTTGGTGGCCGGCGAGCAGCCCAGGACCCTGGGCCCGGGGTGGACTGCGGTTTGCCCTCCCACCCGGGACATTCCAGGTTCACGTTTTCTCAGGTCTCATTTAACAAGGAAAAAATAGCACACACAACATTCATGTCCCACAGACAACTTCTTTTCTTCCCTCAAAAAGGGAAAACCAGCCCGGACCACAGAGCCAGACCCATCTCTACATAAAAACAGAAAAAATTAGCAAGGTGGTGGTGGTACATGGCTGTGGTCCCAGCTACTTGGGAGGCTGAGGCAGGAGGATTGCTTGAGCCTGTTAGTTTGAGGCTGCAGTGAGACATGATTGCGCCACTGCTCTCTAGCCTGGGCAACCAAGCGAGGCTGCTTCTTTAAAAAAAAAAAAAAAAAAAAAAGGTGTAAACTGAGGAGGAAAGGGGGAGAGTGGTTGGGTTGGTTCTCATGAGCAGGACAGCAAGAACAGAAAAGCAAGCGCAGGCCACCTGTGGGGGCTGGGCGTGGCATGGGGAGGCCTCCTCAGTGGGCAGGGTAGGGTGGCTCAGGAGGACACGGGTCTGGGAGTGGGAGGGGAGAAGGGGCACGGTGGGGCTGTCGCGTGGCTGGTGCATGCGCCACGTCCCCACACGCATTCAGTGCATTCCCTCTAGAGGATCCTCGCTCTCCTGCTGTGACCCGGGGTGGCAGCTGTCATCTGTGTACAGGGCTGTGCTCTGAGAGCTGGGAGCCCACACGAGTCCTTCTGCCCAGCCTCCGGCCCTGGCCTCCCCCACAAACCCCCCCCCATCCTACTTCAGTTGACTCCTTGGCCCCCACAGTCCCCCGAGGGGAGACCATGGGCAGCGCCTTTCCTGGCAGGCAGAGACAGGCAGCAGAAAGCCACACTAGCACCTCACTCTCTCAAGGTAGCTGGAGAAGATGAGGACAGGGCGAGTTGAGGGCTTCTAGCAACTCAATTTCCTAAAGCACCTCTGGATCCCCAGGGGCCTCTCCCGCAGAAAGCCCAGGAAACTCATAATTGGGCTTTAGGGTATGTGTGAGAGGAACCCAATTCAGGCTGCTGTAAGTGTAAAGGGCGATTTAATGGCAGAACACTCACAGAGTGTCCTGGGTTGTATAACAGGCCTGAGGCTGGGCTCAGAGATCAGAGGGGCCCCCGGGCCGGCATATGGCCAGGACGATCCTCTCCTCTCCCTGTTCCTCTCCAGGAACCGGCTTCCCTCTCAGATGTGTCACTCACATAGAGCCACTGCGACTGCACAGCAGTCACCTCATGGCCCCCAGCTGGAGGACAGAGTTCTGGGAAAGACTCAGATTCTCGTGACTAGCCTGGCTTTGACTTGTTACAGGAAGAGGACAGTGAGTACTGCTGGGGCCAGATGACTGTGCCTGTCCCCTGTCCCCACCTGGCCAGACAGGTACCACTTCCCTATCCCTGCTGGCTGAGGCTGATGGAACTGACTCCCTGACTCAGGCAGTTCTCTGCAAACCAGACTGCGGAGACTGTGGCTGGTACAGGCTGAGCATCCCTAATCCCAAATCCAAGATCCAAATTTTTGGAGTGCTGATGTGATGCCACCAGTGGAAAATTCCACACCTGATGCCTCTTTCTGATGGTTCAGCAAATAAACTTTGTTTCTTGCACAAAATTATTAAAAATATTGCATAAAATTACCTTCAGGTTGTGTGCATAAAGTGTATGTCAAACATAATGGACGTCTATAATCCCAACACTTTGGGAGGCCGAGGTGGGAGATCACTTGAACCTGGGAGGCAGAGGTTGCAGTGTACCGAGATTGCACCACTGCACTCCAGCCTGGGCGACAGAGCGAGACTCTGTCTCCAAAAACAAACAAACAACAAAGAACGTGGTGTTTAGATTCAGGTCCCATCCCTGAGCCAACTTATTATGTATATGTAAATATTCCAAAAATCAGAAAAAATATATGCAAAATCTGAAACTTGTCTCAACAATTTTGGAAGAGGGCTACTCAGCCTGCAATGTGCTGTTTTCACTTTTCCGCTGCTCTTTTTGGGATGAGGGAGTTGGGTCTGAAGTGTAAGTTCCCTAAAACATCTGCTTGGAGCCAGGTGTAGGCCTGAGACCTAAGGCAGCCTCTGTCACCTCGTGTCATGGAAAGGGCTGGGGACTTACCTGGTTCCATGTCCTCTGTATGGAAAGAAGCTTGCACTGCAGAGTGGGAACCTCTGTCACCCAAACTATCCTCCAGGAAACTGTACCCTCACTTTACTCCTTAGAGAAAACATCTCATTTTATCAAATCACGTCCCTTAACTGTGTTCTGGTTATCTTCATGATTTTCACGTTCAGGCAAGCTGCATTCATCACACTATTTCCACGCCCTGAGCAAATGACAGAAGATTTAAAAGGAGTGCTCAGCTGACAGTGACAGTTCAAATACAGCAAAAAAGACTTCGACAGAAAGTAATAGTATAAAATAGTCAAAATAGTGATTTTTAACTTAGGTACGAAAAAATGGTCCCAATTTCATCATTTCCTGAAAATGGTCCTGCCTGTTGTCTGGAAATTCTATCAGGTGGGAACACATTTCTGTCAAGCAGCTCAAACTTCGAAAGTATTACCTTATGTCTTTCTTCACCTGGACAGTTTTTTCCCTCGATATATTTAATTAATTAAGAGAACCTCACATTGTTCTTAGCCAACCAGCTGGATACCAACCTGGTTTTCTTTCTCCCCAAGAACTGATCTTTGCTACTCAACCCCCAGTAGAGACATGAACTGCTGTGTTCTTTGGTCGTGTTTTAGAGACACATTGTTTGAATTCTTACACATTAGTTTGTTCACATGTTCCTTCAAAACCATATATTTTTGCCTGATCATTAGAAAGCACTGTTTATTCCCTAAGAAAGTAAACTTTGAAGTGATGAGAAATAAAATAATCTGCAAAATACCCACATCCTTTTTCCCCAGCACAGTATTTGTTTAAACAGTATAGCACAACACTCATCTTTTATTTATTTATTGTTTTTTTTTTTTACTAAGGCACATGACGTAGAAATATTGAGGTACAAAAATGCAAATTTCTGCAAAAGATTTTTAAGATATTCATTTTGGAAAATGAAGGTGAACATCATCTCCCAGAATATTCAGCTTTTAGCTTGTTTTTTCTTTTGGACCAGTTCAACCAGCAACTTGTACCTAGCGATACAGTCTTCCTGTAGGAAGAAAAAAAGAGAGGTGAGAACAGTCACTTGCACAAGTCAGTGTGGTCCCCGTGGGGCCGGTCTGCTGCCTTCTGCTCATGAAGAGCCTCACGTCCAGTCCCTCTGCCCAGAGTTCCCAGGATGTCCTGGAGTCCAGCCGCTCACAAGGCAGACCTGTCCAGGCAGTGCAAGAAGGGCTCCTGCAAGCCCAGCCCGAAGGGAAGGTGCTTGGCGCGGAGTGAGGGGCTGGGGCAGCCGTTTGTGAGGTGCACTAGCATCATCACTGGTACCTTCAGCCTGCTGACTCTCATTTTCATGTTAACATTTCACTCTTTCATCACAACACGCTACTTTAAAAAAATCAAAAACCCTGGGGCCAGGTGGCCACAATAGTCTTCTTCCGTGGGTCTGGCTTTCCTTAGGTGCTGCTGAGACCTTTCCTGTGGGGCGCCAGACCCCGGGACACTGGAAAAACTTGTGCTAAAATACACACTCCTGCTCCTCCCGGCCCCACCTCCATCCCACCCTATAGGCTGCAGGGCCACCCACTTCAGACCTCAGCTGGCCACAGCTGTCACGCCCTGGGCTGGGACTCAGGACCAAAGCAGAGGTGGGTTGATGGTGGGGAGAGGCCTCATTATTTTCACGTTGATTACAGGAACTTTCTAGAATCTATTCTGTTTCTGTTCCAAAAATACTGACCCCTGAGGTTCTGTAGCTTCTGCTGACTTAGGGTCCAGTGCAAAGTGACTTTATCAGCTGCCTGGGACAGGGAAAGGATGTTTACTCTCCCAGGATTTTAGCTTAGTGGTGTCATGAGAGTCTCTTCTCAGGGTTTTTTCTGCATCCCCAAAGATTACCTGCCTAAGGTATTTAAAGATATCAGTCTTTCCTTAGTATCTATGCTGTCCCAAACCACATAGTGCCGAAACCAGATGTGGCCAGACCCAGCATGTAACCCTGGAAGGACAGTGTGCTCAGAGCTCTGAGCTGAGCTGTGGCAGCCAGGCCCAGGCTCCAGGACAGCAGGCAGCTCAGCCCTGGCTGGCTCTCAAGTCAAGGCTTGAGGGGAACACCTGCAGGCTGACGAAGCCCTGCTCATTGCTGGTTGAAAACTGGAAGGTTTCCAGACCCCCCAGGTATGAGTTTCTGGGTGTTCTATCCTTAGGAATCCAAGCTCCAGCCCCTTCGTTTATAAGCCAGTGTGGACTCATCACACATGGAGACACCTGTGTCCTGACAGATGCTAGAGAAATTCGGGGAGAATAGTTACTTCTGGCAAACCAGTTGGAGAGGCTGGGAGAAGCTGCGCTTCCCAAATAGATCAACTGCTAAGGGTTTATTTTTCTCCCCAGGAACTCTCAACTTTCATCCTTTTAAAGTAGGTGGAGAAAACTAGACCTGTACACTCAGGGACATGCATGGCCATGAGCTAGATTTTCCAACACAGAATTTCAATTACAAAAATAAGAATGTAAATGAGCATCAGTGTGCCCAGAGGCGACTGAGGGAGGCACAGACGGCAGAATAGATCGTGGCTTTTGATTCTGACTGTTCCTGATTCCTCGACTAACAATCTAGCTCCCTGGAAAGAAGCCTCAAGAGACACTGTGGTAGGATCACACCCTGGAACTCTCTGCAGCCCCTCACGGCCAGATCACAGGAAAGAGGCCGCCCAAGCTGGGTGGCTGGGCTCTCCACAGGGCACTCCCGCCCTCTCCTCCCATCTGAGTTTTCATCTGACAACTATCTCAGATGTATGTGAGCAGGCACTAAGAGCTACAAGCAGGGAGAAAGGCCAACTACAAACGGCCACGGCCGTGGAAGGTAAGCCGAACCCTAGCTGTCGCCTGGCACTGACCACACATGGAGATGGCCTCAGGGCCTCTGGACAGCCACGAGGTGCACCCGCTGAGTCCAAAGTTATTCACATGGCAGAACCAAAGATGATTATGGTAATACTGTCTATACCAGCTATCCCTTTGGTCAAAGATTTGCTACATAGCCAATGGGCCTTGTGATTTATGAACCCTCAGCCGGGTTCAGAGGAGCTTCCCATCCTGACCCTCCCCAGCTGCCGCATTTCACGGTGAGACGGCACCGACTGAGCCTCCCACGTGCCCTTAAACCCTAGGCCTGAGTGGGCGAGTTCTCCAAAGGGCAGGCAGGTGCTGTGGGTGAAGTTTCTATAACCAGCTACCCTGTGTGATGATGAAACTTAGAATCTTGAGCTCATCTACACACATGAACCACCTCAGTGCACAGATTCATATGCTCTAGGGAGAAATATACTGGAAGATAGCTGGGAAAGAAGAGATCACGGGGCAAGTGTCAGTAGATAGGAATGAGGGAAGAAGCCGCAGGCAGACAAGCTGCGGCTCCTCTGGTGGGATTCTAACACCTGTGCAGAGGCCTCTTTCCCTGTAACTCACCTTGCTCTTGGACGGGACACATCTGGCTATTTTGTCCCAGCGGTCAGAGGATCCCTTTGGGTACTGCTGCAACGCCAGTTCCAGAAGTTTCTGTTGATTCTGAGTCCACGGCTCCTCTGCAGCCCGAGCTCTCTCTTTTTTCTGGCTCTCCTCGTCGCTGGACTCATTTGGTTCTGCTACGTCAAAGTCCTTCTGCCGCCTGGCTCTGGACTTCTCCTCTGGCTCCAGCTTCGCGGTAGTCTCCAGCAGCCTGGCTGGCTTCCGCCTCCGAGGTCGGGCCTCGGTGCCCCCCGTCTCCTGCTCACCAGAGTCTCCCCCCTGCTCCTCCTCCACCACCGCCCCCTCTGCGTCCTCTCGCTGGGTGATCATGTCATCAGGCAAGGTGGTGGCACTTTTGATGGGCCTGGAATTCTGAACTGTTGATTTGAGTTCGGAGAGTCTAACCATTCCTAGGAAAGAGGGGTGCGCCACACAGAGGTGAAGGGCAAGGTGAATTAAGGAGATGGTGAGAACAGCAGCTGCTAGGCACACAGCAGGCAGCGCACTAGGCATTTTGCATGCATGGTCTAATTTCATTTCCACACTATTCTAGAAAGATAGGGATCATTACCCTAATGTTACAAATGAGAAAAAGACGACTCAGAAAGCACTAGAGTGGGATCTGAACCCACTTCTGTCTTATTCCAAGCCTTTGTCCCTTTCTCTACTCTGAGGAATAATGGGCATATAAAGAATCAGATTGTGAACAAGAATACAAACATGTCTTTGAGAAGGAATAACCTGCTACTCAGTGTAAGAAAGGATTCACTGGCTCCACTGGAAAGACAAAAATCAACTGGTCAAACCTTAAACTGTGCTGCCTCTGGAAGTCAAGTGTATGAGTAAATTATACACTTATAAATAGTAGCTATAACAAGAATTTTTAAACATGGAAAAGAAACATTTTATCAAAACATTTATTAGCTGGGTGTGGTGGTATACACCTGTACTCCTAGCTACTTGGCAGGCTAAGGAGAGAGGACTGCTTGAGCCCAGGAGTTTGAGGCTGCAGTCAGCTATGATCACACCACTGTGCTTCAGTCTGGGCAACAGAGTGAGATCTTGTCTCTAAAAGTAGTAATAATTAATAACAAAAGTTTTAAACCTTTTAATAGGACAGAATAGAATACAGAGCACTGATATCCTCAATACAGTAGGAGTTACAACTCAGTAAGATAAAAGGACAAAGAACACAGCTCACAAAGGAAGAACTACAGTAGCTGACGAGTATTAGAGAACTGAAACAGTGAATCACCACTTTTTAATTATTAAATTGGCAAAGATTAGAAAGTATGACAATACCTAGTGCTGGCAAAATGCAGGGAAATAGGTACATTCGGACACCGGGAGTGGGAGCAGAAACTGGCCCAGCTCAGAGCTGTCCAATGAAACATGCTGTGATACGATTATACAAACCACTTGGTGTAGCACTGAGGAATTAAGTTTTTAACTTTATTTAATTTTAATTAATTTAAAATTTAATATAAACAGCTACAAGTGGCAAGTGGCTACCATATTAGACAGCACAGGTCTAGCCTTTTTAAAGAACAATTTGTCAAATGGAGGTGAACCTTAAAATTGTATTTACTTGTGACTCTATAATTTTACTTAGAGGAGGTTCTCCTATGGAAATAATTACAGATGTATATACAAATTTGGCTACAAAGAGGCAATATTTTAGGCCCAGTGCAGTGTGGCTTGCGCCTGTAATTCCAGGACTTTAGGAGGCCAAGGTGAGGTGCATCACTTGAAGCCAGGAGTTCCAGACCAGCTTGGGCAAACATGGCAAAACCCTGTCTCTACTAAAAATACAAAAAATTAGCTGGGCGTGGTGATGCATGGCTGTCATCCCAACTACTTGGTGGCTGAGGCATGAAAATCGCTTGAACCCAGCAGGCAGAGGCTGCAGTGAGCCAAGACTGTGCCACTGCATTCCAGTCTGGGCAACAGAGTCTCACTCTGTCTCAAAACAACAACAAAAAAGGAGGCAATATTTTATTTCCTTTTTTACGGTAATGTTTCCTCTTTTTTATACTAGCTTTTATTTAATAAAAAACAAAATCCTGGCCGTACACGGTGGCTCATGCCTGTAATCCCAACACTTTGGGAGTCCAAGGCGGGGGGATCACCTGAGATCAGGAGTTCAAGACCAGCCTGGCCAACATGGTGAAACCCTGTCTCTACAAAATACAAAAATTAGCCAGGCATGATGGTGGGTGCCTGTAATCCCAGCTACTCAGGAGGCTGAGGCAGGAGAATCGCTTGAACCAGGGAGGCGAGGTTACAGGGAGCCGAGATGGTACTATTGCACTCCAGCCTGAGTGACAGAGTGAGACTCCATCTTAAAACAAAAACAAAAACAAAAACAAAAACCTGCATATAATTAAAAAAAAAAAAAAAGTAAAAACTACAAAAAGGAATACAATGAAAAGTGGCTTCCTGGTCTGCTTTCTAAGAGGCAAAAATGAGTTGGGGTGTGAGTGTGTGAACGTCTAGATATAGAATGAGTCTTGCACACCCTGTGTAGCTGCATTTGCCTTCTCCTTTCTTATGTTAATGGCAACAAACTCCCTGGAGGTTATTCTGTATTAGCTCACTAAAGTTCCAGGTCTTAGTCTTTTGTTACTACAAATGAGTTGCATTTCATAATCATTATCTCCTCTATATTTTTTATTATGTACTCCATCAATAAAACCTCTTTGAAAATGCAATTATTATTTTTTTAATTTTTGTTTTTTGAGATGGAGTCTCGCTCTTTCACCAGGCTGGAGTGAAGTGGTGTAATTTTGGTTCCCTGCAACCTCTGCCTCCTGGGTTCAAGTGATTCTCCTGCCTCATCCTCTAGAGTAGCTGGGACTATGGGTGTCAGCCTCTCAAGTAGCTGGGACTACGAGCACGCGCCACCATGCCCAGCTAATTTTTGTATTTATAGTACAGACGGGGTTTCACCATGTTGGCCAGGATAGTCTCAACCTCTTGACCTCGGGATCTGCCCGCCTTGGCCTCCCAAAGTGCTGGGATTACAGGCATGAGCCACCGCGCCCAGCCGAAAATGCACTTCTAATATATGCATATTCACTTATATTTACTTATTCTTTTATATCCACCACTCTACTAATATATTATAAAACACATATGAATAAGAAAATCAAAGATAAAAAACAATCTAAAAACATCATTAAGTGAAACATTCTCATGAAAATATTAATATTAAAAACAATGAGACTGAAAAATTGCTTAATACTGGGTAAAATACTCAATTAAAGGCCTGGCTCCAAATTCACTTTATTTTGGCACCTAACTTTGAATGGCCATCCCAGTTGGAAAAGATGACCCAAAAGGATACATCTATCCACATGGAGCGTCCTGTTGGCCATGTTTACTATGCTCTGGTATTCACTGTACAATACAAATTATGAAAACATTTTCATAAAAATCTTCCCCAAGTCAATCATTTGGTCTTGCAAACTAAACAGAAAGTGTTATTTATCTGAGATGGGGGTCTCGTCACCCAGGCTGGAGTGCAGTGGTGTGATCGTAGCTCACTGCAGCCTCCAACTTCTGGGCTCAAGTGATCCTCCCACCTCAGCCTCCTGAGCAGCTGGGACTACAGGCCTACACCATCACGCCTGGCTGTACTTTTAACAAATGAGTTCACTTTGTTTGAAAGATTTACAGGTTAAAATTCTATTTTCAACATTTTTAAATCCGTAAAAATAAGTTTTTATAGGTCACATTGTTTTGGTCATAGAATAACACATAACAAAGAAAATACTATCAAGCATCGACTTTGTTTTTTTTTTTGAGCCAGTCTTGCTCTGTTGCCCAGGCTGGAGTTCAGTGGCATGATCTCGGCTCACTGCAACCTCTGCCTCCCGGGTTCAAGTGATTCTCCTGCCTCAGCTTCCAGAGTAGCTGGGACTACAGGCATGCACCACAACACCCAGCTAATTTTTGTATTTTTAGTAGAGACCGGGTTTCACTATGTTGGCCAGGCTGGTCTCGAACTCCTGACCTCAGGTGATCTGCCCGTCTTGGCCTCCCAAAGTGTCAGGATTACAGGCGTGAGCCACCACACCCAGCCAAGGATCTACTTTCAAACATCCTTTCTACAGCATAAATAGTTTTCAAAACACTTTCATATTCATTGTTAAAAACCCATCTTTATTTTGTAAAAATATTTTAATATAATAAAAGGATTAAATATATTAGTCTTCAGTGAGTATGCTGCCATTAACATAGAAAGAGGGAGGCAAATACAGACAGGGTGTGCGCAACTAGTTACACTTCTAGACGTGTGCACCCCCTACTCCGATTCATTATTCCTTCTGTGGAGGGCCACGAATGCAGACTCAGACACTTTTCATTGTATCCCCTTTCGTACTGTTTTAATGTTTTAAGCGTGTGCAGGTTTTTTTTTTTAGACCCTACACCAATAATTTATTTATTTATTTATTTATTTATTTGGTAAAAGAAAAGTATAAAATTGAAGATCTTTAAATTCAAAAACTTTTAAAAGTACTTTGTCAAAATACTAGGAAGCCTCCATATGATAGGAAATATTCCCGTGGTTGCCCTCCACCTTATAAAAAGATGTCACTGCAACTCTGGGGTTATCTATACATCCACTCAACTGGGTATCTTGTTGCAATATCTTGAGAGCGAAAGAATGTGGGATGATGCCGAGTGATGAGGCCATCATCAACCTGTGAGCGCTGTGGAAATCCCATTTTTCCCTTGGGAAACGCCGGTGCCCTATGTAACACATAAGCTCTGCTAATGGGCACAGTGAGGGTGCTGGCATAAGTCTGAATATCAAAGATGAGAAAGCTTAATTACTCTCTCACTGCTTTAAGATAAAAATAAAGATCAATAGAAATTCAAATACAGTCTTCTTAAATTCCAAAGAATCATCTTGTCTACCTCACTTTGGAGACCACAACTTCATAACAATAAAAAAAAATGGAAACAATCAAAATGTCCAACAATAGAAACCTGTTAAATAAACCATGGGGCAGATATCTATATTATGGACTACTATGGAGCCATTAAGGTGATGATACAGACATATGAGTATACGGAGTGAAAAAATACAAAACAGTATTGTAGTATAGTCCCATTCTTGTAAAAATATTATATGCACATACGTGCATCAGAAAAGTCTCAAGAAATAGGCTGGGCGCAGTGGCTCATGCCTGTGATCCCAGCACTTTGGGAGGCTGAGGTGGGAGGATCACCTAAGGTTGGGAGTTTGAGACCAGCCTGACCAACATGGAGAAACCCCGTCTCTACTAAAAATACAAAATATTAGCCAGTCATGGTGGTGCATGCCTATAATCCCAGCTACTCAGGAGGCTGAGGCAGGAGAATTGCTTGAACCTAGGAGGCGGAGGTTGCAGTTAGCCGAGATTGCACCATTGCATTCCAGTCTGGGCAACAGAGCGAGAATCCATCTCAAAAAAAAAAAAAAAAAAAAAAAGAAAAGTCTGAAGAAATAGCTCTCTCAAAATAACAATTGGTAGGTTACATGTGATTATTTTCTTCCTTTTATCGGTATTTTTTTGAGTTTCTATTAGCAAATATTTCTTTCTATACTCACTAAAGCAACTCTCTTAAGAAATAGCTGAATACCTCCATCTGGGTGTGTTCTTATCTGTAGAAGGTCATTTTCCCCTGTGCTAGCCTATTAAGCCAGCTGTGTTTTCTAAACCATCCATTTCAAACCCTTTGAAAGGTAACCCAAATCTTAGGAAACAATTTTAGAATATCTAATAATACTTCAGAAGCACAGCTTTGTGACTTAAATGGATCACACTGCTTACGGATTCTTTGTTAATTTGTGAACATAATCAGAAGAAATACTTTTATTTCAAAATCCTTTGGCTTCTTAAAGGCTATTAAAAAACAAAACACAGAATTTAATGAATATATTTGTGACAAAGACCTTATGGTGCTTTTAGAGAGTCACAGGATGCTTGGATGTGGCCAAATATCACATCGGATTTGCTTCTTTTCCTCTCTGTCCTAATGCTGGATCTGCTCTCTGCTCAAAGCTGCTTCTGGTGCCTTCTCTCAGCCACAAGTGTTGGTTGCCTCAGAGACGCACTTAAATATTCAACTCCACATTTCCTGTTTTCTTCATACTTCTGACCCCCTCCACCAAAGCTCCAGGAAGATCTATGTCAGTTCCTTACTCTGAGATGCGCTGCCTTTTCAATGGTATGATTTTGGAGAATGTCTTGAAGTAGACTTCTGTTATGTAACATTCCATTGCCCCATCTCTGCCTCCATGCCCACAGAAATAACTTCATTGGCAGAAAAAGAAATCCAGAAATGTCCTCTTTGCTAAAGCCTGGAGAACTCCAAGTTGAATTCTTTTTTAAAAATTATTTTATTTTTATGTTTATTTTTCGGAAATGGGGGTCTCACTATGTTGCCCAGGCTGGTTTTGAACTCCTGGGCTCAAGTGATCCTCCCGCCCTGGCCTCTAGAGTAGTTGAAACGAGAGCTGGGCCACCATGCCTGGCTGGGATGGCTTTTTGAGATCTCTGGGTTTGCTAATCGTTGGCTTGTTCATCTGCATTACTCTCCCTGGCACCTGTATTCGAGTTAGGTTGGAAAGTTTCTGAGGCATGTTCTTACTTCCTGGTTCTAAGCAAAGAATATGGAGACTCTAACAAAATTCCAGTTAATCTTGGAGGAAATTGATTTTAAGAAACATAAATGCGGCCGAGCATGGTGGCTTGCACCTGTAATCCCAGCAATTTGGGAGGCCGAGGTGGGAGGATCAAGAGGTCCGGAGTTCAAGACCAGCCTGGCCAACATGGTGAAACTCCGTCTCTACTAAAAATACAAAAATCTGTCAGGTGCGGTGGCGGGCACCTGTAATCCCAGCTACTCCAGAGGCTGAGGCAGGAGAATTGCTTGAATCCAGGGGAGGCAGAGGTTGCAGTGAGCCAAGATTGTGCCACTGCACTCTAGCCTGGGCAACAGAGCAAGACTCCGTTTCAAAAAAAACAAAAACAAAAACCAAAAAACATAAATGCTTGGGAAAGCTGTTTGTCATCTATTCCAAAGAGTAGCTCTGCAAGTGCGGCAGTGACAGGGGTGGACAGTGCGGGGAAACAGTGTGCACACAGCATTTGCGTGGTGTGCAGAGATGGGCTTTCTCCTGCGTTCCCCGTCCCCACAAATTGAACTAGAGAAGACGATCTGTATATTTCTTTAACCTTATTAATTAAATACACCTTCTCGGCACCAGAATATGCAGGGATGGACTGGCTTGCTGGTGCCCGTATTTCAACCCCTTTTGGAGATGCGACCAGATTTAGAGTTCATTAGGCAACACTTCTAGACCCTTGTATTTAAAGAAGTTATTATAAAAAGGGATTAATTTAGAAGAAATCACTTTAGATTAATGAGACAGAGGAAGTATGAACTCACCTGGGGAGCAGGTCACTGAATCCTTCAGTTGCTTGGCTTTGGTTGTCACCTGTTTCAAAACATAAAAGCAAAAATCTTACTTTCCATGTACCTACTGTAGGCTGAGTGAAACTATTCCATGTAAGCTCCATGTGAATGAACAGGGTTCACTGGATCTCAGGTCTGAAAGACCCTCAGTCATCTGTCCCATCCATTAATGTAATTAACAAGAAAATTGAGGCCCACAGAGATTAAATGGATTGCTCCAAAACACCCATCCACTCAGCAGCAGAATCAGGACAAGAACTCACATACCTGGACTCCTTCTAGTTCAATGACAGTTCTGTTATACAAGGCTGCTTCTTAAAAGATACTACTTTCAAGGCCAGGCATGGTGGCTCATGCCTGTTATCCTAGCACTTTGGGACGCCAAGGCGGCTGGATCAGTTGAGGTCAGTAGTTCAAGACCAGCCTGTCCAATATGGTGAAACCCCATTTCGATTAAAATATAAAAAGTAGCTGGGCAAGATGGTGGGTGCCTGTAATCCCAGCTACTCTGGAGGCTGAGGCAGGAGAATCGCTTGAACTCCAGGAGGCGGAGGTTGCAGTGAGCCGAGATCGCACCACTGCACTCCAGCCTGGGCAGTGAGACCTTGTCTCAAAAAAAAAAAAGATACTGCTTTCATTATGCAAACAGGTCATTTTTTAAACCTAGAATTTCCAGAAATTGAATATCTTTCTTCACTGGAGAATATTCTACCACTGAGTATTGCAATCAGTGGGGAAAATGACATTTATGCTAATGGTGTTATAAGATAAAAGTCCTTCCTTTCTGCAATCTGGAAGGAAACCCTAAGATCATCTGAGATTGACATTGGAGGAAGAATCTGTTGGTGGAGTGGGGCAGCTGTACCCAAGAACCATCATACCTTTACACATATGAGTGTGGATCCACAGAAAGAATTTGGTCTAGTGGTAATTTTTTTTTCTTTATATAAATGGCATCGTATTTCATGTCTCATTCTATAGCTAGATCTTTCTTCATTTAACAATGTCTTTGAGATCTACATATAGATTTGCTTTATTTTTGTTTTATCTTCTCTTTCTCTGTCAACTTATTTTGTTTGTTTGTTTGTTTGTTTTTAAAGAGATGTTTCTATGTTGCAGTCTTGCTATGTGGCCCAGAATGGCCTGTAACTCCTAGGCTCAAATGATCCTCCCACCTCAGCCTCCTGAGTAGTTGGGACTACAGGTATGAGCCACTGCACTTGGCTTTTTTTAAATTGAGATAAAATTTACAGAGTATAATGAGCAGACTTTAAATGTGCAATCTGATGAGTTTTCACCAAAAATCTCTGCCTGTGTAACCAACATCACAATCAAACTACAGAACATTGACTGGGCATGGTGGCTCATGCCTGTAATCCCAGCACTTTGGGAGGCCGAGGCAGGCAGATCACTTGAGGTCAGGAGTTTGAGACCAGCCTGGTCAATATAGCAAAACCCTGTCTCTACTAAAAATACAAAAATTATCCAGGCATGATGGCACATGCCTGTAATCCCAGCTATTTGGGAGGCTGAGGCAGCAGAATTGCTTGAACCCAGGAGGTGGAGGTTGCAGTGAGCTGAGAACACGTCACTGCACTCCAGCCTGGGTGACAGAGCCAGACTCCATCTAAATAAATAAATAAATAAATAAAAATAAAAAAAATTACAGAACATTCCTGTTACTCCAGAAAGTTCCCTTGTGCCCTTAATGCAATCTCTATCCTGCCACAGATAACCACTGTTCTGACTTCTATTGTATATTTTTTAAAAATATGGGGTTAAAGTTATTAATTTTTTTCAAATGAATAGTTAATTGCCCTAATACACTTATCTAACAAGCCATACTTTCCATTTATTTAAAATATGAATTTCATTAAAATTATGTTCGGCTGTATACATGTGCTATTATATTTTTCTATATTTCTCTATCCCATTAATCCATGTATATTCTTGAACCAACACTTCATGGCTTTAATGAAATTTGAAAGTAAAACGTCAGAAAGCATGATCATTAAGAGCCAAGAGTCAGGCAGATCTGCTCTTCAATCTTGGTTCCACCTCTCAGCTGGGTAACAGACAGCAATTTTCCATCCTTTCTCTGTTTCATATATTACCCTCTGTAATGTGTGGATACCACTACTAATACCATTTGCCGCTTATGGATGTTTTCAGTTTGAAACAAACCCTTAGCATGATACCTGGCAGACACTAAAGGCTCAGTAAATATTACCTGTTACAACTGAAATAGATCATTTGTTTTCCATTCATACAAAGAGCAGAATTAGAACATTTAAAGCTGCGTGGAAACACTTTTCAATTTTGTTCTCTACCTTCCACTCTCTCTACAGATGACCTTGCTTCCTATTTAATGTAAGCAAACTGAACTTATCCAACATGAGCTTCCTTGACTTCTGAATTTCCCAGCTCAAAAATTTGCTTGCCCCACCACATATCCATCCCTTCTTTTATCCTAATTCAAAGAAATAAATGCATTCCTTCCCCTTGAGGCTAAATCTGCCCCTTGAATCCTCACAGAACTATGTGCCATCAGTCATCTGCTTTCATCTTCAACTTCTCCCTGTCCATCAGATACATCCCATAAACCTTCAAACTTAGCTCAAGTAGTCTACTCTAAAAGACAATCTTCCCTTGACTTTATCTTTTCTATTCTACTTGGTATTCATGAGAGTATCTCCTAGTTTTCCTTCTTTCTCTGAATGTTCCTCCACTGGCCTCTCCTATATACTCCTGCCTCTTGTTCCCTAATAGAAGTGTTCCTCAACATTCTGCCCATGTTCTTTCCACTTTCTACTCTGGTATTTCATCCCATCTATTCAACAATACTTTAGAAAAGAAATGATTAACCTACATCTCTGGCCCTGACTTCTACCTTGGAATGCCAGTCTCACAGAAATTGACCATGCAACAATGGATCCTCGGATCTGAAAGGGACTTCACCTATGTAACATTAAGCTTACTATGCAATAGGCACTGTTCTAAATAAGTTGTGTGTGTATACATATTCCTCACAGTAGCGATATTAGGTAGGCATAGAACTGTTATCCTGATTTTACAGAATCTGAGGCCTAGGGAGAATAAATAATATATCCAAGGTAAACAGTTACTGAGAAGCTAAAACCAGACAAGTAGGAATCTAAAATTTTTGCTCTCAATCACTATAACATAACCACCTTTTAAATCGAACTCTTTCATTTTATAGAAAAAAAAACAAGCCAAGTGCTCTTTCTGCTATACTACATGGCTTTACTTTCTAACTGCCATTAAATCTCTTAGAGGTCTCCTAGTTCCTGAAACTAAACAATGCAAAAACTAAACTCATCAGTTTTTCTAATAAAACAGCTTCTCTGCTTTTCCTCCATTGCTTAATAGTTTTATCACCCAAGTCACTTAGGCTTAAAATCTAACAGTCCATTTTTGGACTTTTCTCTCCTTCCCCAACCAGTTGCTTCATAGTATCAATTCCATTTGTTCCCTACTCTCTCAGACCTCCACCACCTGCACCAGTCCTTCATTCTCACTTGACCAAACTAATATAACACCTTCTAACAGGTCCCTAACTTAATTAATAGTTAATAATTAATGACTGATACTGAGCATTTTTTAATGCATTTATTGGACTTTTGTATATCTTTCTTGGAGGAATATCTATTTCATATCCTGTATCCATTGCTTATGTGGGTCATTCAACTTTTTATTATTGAGTTGTAAGATTACTTTTTTTTTTTTTTTTTGAGATGGAGTCTAGCTCTGTCGCCCAGGCTGAAGTGCAATGGCACGATCTCAGCTCACTGCAGCCTCCACCTCCCAGGTGCAACTGATTCTCCCAACTCAGCCTCACAAATAACTGGGACTACAGGCATGTGCCACCACGCCCGGCTAATTTTTTGTATTTTTAGTAGAGATGGGGTTTCACCATGTTGGTTAGGCTGGTCTCAAACTCCTGACCTGAGGTAATCCGCCTGCCTCGGCCTCCCAAAGTGCTGGGATTACAGGCATGAGCCACCATGCCTGGCCAGAGCTGTGAGATTCTTGATGTGCTCTGGGTACATGTACTTTTATCAGACATAAGATGTGCAAGTAAGTTCTCCCACTCTTTGGGTTGCCTTTTCACTTTCTTGATGGTGTCCTTTGACTCACAAAAGTTTTAAATTTTGCTGAGGTCCCATTTATCTATTTTTTTAATTTTGAAGTTTTTGGTTGCTTGTGCCTTTGGTGTCATATCTAAGAATCCCCTGCCAAATCTAAGGCCAGGAAGACTTAAGAGTTCCAAATTAAATTAGACTTTAATTTCTTTCAACAATGTTACATAGTTTTCAAAGTTAAAGTTTTTCACTTCTTTTGTTTAATTTATTCCTAAGTATTTGATTCTTTTTGATGCAATTATGAATGTAATTATTACTTCCATTTTCAGGTTGTTCACTGTAAATGCATAAAAAAACTGATTTTTGTAATATTGCTATGTATCCTGCAACCTTGCTAAACTCATTTATTAGTTCCAATGTTTTTTTTAGTGCACTTCTCAAGATTTTCTACATATAAAATCATGCCATCTGCAAACAGATAATTTTACTTCCCTTTTTTCCATCTTATTTCTTTTTCTTGCCTAACTGCCCTGGCTAAGACTTCAGTACAATGCTGAATAGAAGCAGCAAGAGCAGACATCCTTATTTGGTTCCTGATCTTAGCAGGAAATCATTCTTTCACCAGTAAACACGGTGTTGTGGGTTTTTCGTAGATGCTCTTTTATCTGGTTGAGGTACTTCTTTTTTATTGCTAGTCTGCTGAGTGTTTTTATAGTGCAAGGGTGTTGGATTTTGCCAAACACTTTTTTTTTTTTTTTTTTTGAGACACAGTCTCGCTCTGTTGCCCAGGCTGGAGTACAATGGCACAATCTTGGCTCACTGCAACCTCTGCCTCTGGATTCAAGTGATTCTCCTGCCTCAGCCTCCCGAGTAGCTGGTATTACAGTTACGCACCACCACACCTGGCTATTTTTCGTAT